CCAAAATTACAACCAAATAATTGCAGCCTTACCGCAAAAATGGAAGAGGAAAGTGGAAGGAGGAGAAAGTAAGGAACTTGTCTGTCGGCCTTGCATTAAAGAACATAATTGGTTAAGGAAAAGTGTGATAAATAAAAAGGTAAATCAGTTTCATTTAAGGACCAAAGGATTGACAGCCGTCCCCTATAGATTGCAAAATAGTTGGGAAGAGATTTTTGACGTACCGATCCCATGGCATAGTGTTTATGAACTGATACGCAAAACGACACCGGATTCAAAACTTTGAATCTTTCAATTTAAATTATTATATAAAATTCTTGCTACCAATAGAATGTTATTTATATGGGGGATGCAATCTTCCCAGCTCTGCAGATTTTGCTGCGAAGAGACAGAATCATTAGATCATTTGTTTTGGTACTGTCCATTTGTAGCTTGTTTTTGGACACAGGTCCAGGAATGGCTAAAGGATTGCAATATTTACCTGGAGCTAACCCTGCAGATAGCACTACTGGGTGATCTGAAAAGTCATAGTCAATCGATCAATAACATAATAATACTATTAGCAAAAAAAATATATTTTCAATTCACAATCTGTAGAAACAATGAGAATAGAAAGGTTCAGAACTTTTGTAAGACATCACAGTACAGTTGAAATATATATGGCAAATAGAAATCCTATATGGATGGTGTTAAAAGATAGATGGGAGGTGATGAATGGAATTGAAGGATGGGACTAATAACAACTAACAACAAACAATAACAAGATAACCAATAATGTAGACACGCTGTGTCCATAATAAGTGTATGGGTTGTAGGTTGGGAGCTTTTGTGAAGGAGCACAGTTAGAAAGATATGGCATATAGAAGCAAACTGGATTGACATCATGAAAATGATCGGAGAGGTTGAGAGTAGAAGAAGTTCAGGAGAAAGAACAAACAAAATGTAAATACTGTAAAATTGACTGTGTCCATAAAATGTAGATAGTGGGTATGGGCTGGAAGTAGAGGCCTAGGCGTTGTTGTTCACTAGTTTACTCCAAGTGGGGAAAGGGTGGCAGGGTTGGAAAGTAATAAAGGGTTTTAAAATAATAAAAGAAAAAAAGAAAAAAAAGAAAGAGAGAACTTGGTTAACTTCAAATGTGTGTCCAAATAACAGAGTTGGTGAGAGAGACTCACACCTACTGTAATGGTCTGGGCCTAAACCACACGAAAATAACACTAGACACTATGGAACACAAAGCTTTTACTATCTCATCCTGGAATATAAAATGTCTGAGATCATCTGCCTTTGGCCTAAAGAGCAGGCACCCAGACTTTACCAAAGAAATCAGAAATACAGACATTGTCATCCGGCAAGAAACATGGTATAGAGGAGATGGACCCACTGGTTGCCCTCTAGGTTACAGTGAGCTGGTAGTCCCATCCACCAAACTCCCCAGGTGTTACATAGAGAAGAGACTCAGGGGGTATGCTAATTGAGTAATAAGGCACAAGGGGGTGTGGTATACGGCCAATATACCATGGCACGGAGTGCCTGAATATAGCCCTTAGCCGTGGTATAGTGGCCATATACCACAAACCCTCGATTTGCCTTATTGCTATTATAAACTGGTTACCAATGTCATTAGAGCATTTAAAATAAATGTTTTGTCATACCCTTTCATCCCATCAGCATTCAGGGCTTGAACCACACAGTTTCTAATTTGGTGTAGATCATACTTAACCCACTACTTTAAATTAATCAAAACAGGAACACATTACATTTGACTAGAAATTCAAAAGAAAATGATCTCATCAGAGAAAAATGTCCTCCTGTGTGCTCCCTATATCCATAGACGCAGGCAAAAGAGTGGAAACTGGAGCAGCAGCACCAGGTGGACTGGGGACAGCAAGGAGTCATCAGGCCAGGTAGTCCTGAGGCATGGTCCTAGGGCTCAGGTCCTCTGGGATGAGCTACACGGGGTAAATTCACTACTCGATTGAAGGACCTTACACATAATTGTATGTGTGGGGTACAGAGATGAGGTAGTTGTTAAAAACTACTTATTATGTGACTTGTTAAGCAAATTGTTACTCCTGAACTTATTTAGGCAAAGGGGTTGAATAGTTATTGAATCAAGACATTTCAGCTTTTAATTTTTTATTAATTTGTCAACATTTCGAAAAACATAATTCCACTTTGACATTATGGGGCATTGTGTGTAGGCCAGTGACCCAAAAAATCTCAATGTAATCTATTTTAAATTCAGGCTGTAACACAACAAAATGTGGAAAAAGTCAAGGGGTATGAATACTTTCTGAAGGCACTATATATCAATGAATTGGCGAGGGCACTAAAACAGTCTGCAGCACCCGGCCTCACCCTACTGTACTCAGAAATCAAATGCCTACTGTTTGCAGATGATCTGGTACTTCTGTCCCCAACCACGGAGGTCCTACAACCACCTAAAAGGAAGCGATGCCAACACATTCCACCACAAAGCCCTCACCTACAGAGAGATGAACCTAGAGAAAAGTATCCTCAGCCAGCTGGTTCTGGGGCTCTGTTCACAAACATAAACAGATCCCACAGAGCTCCAGGACAGCAACACAATTAAATCCAACCAAATTATGAGAAAGCAAAAATATCATTATTTGACACACTGGAAAGAATCAACCAAAAAAACGGAGCAAATTGGAATGCTATCTGGCCCTAAACAGAGAGTACACAGTGGCAGAATATCTGACCACTGTGACTGACCCAAAATTAAGAAGATCCTTGACTATGTACAGACAGTGAGTATAGCCTTGCTATTGAGAGAGGCCGCCATAGGCAGACCTGGCTCTCAAGAGAAGACAGGCCATGTGCCCACTGCCCACAAAATGAGGTGGAAACTAAGCTGCACTTCCTAACCTCCTGCCAAATGAATGACCATATTAGAGATACATATTTCCCACAGATCACACAGACCCACAAAGAATTTGAAAACAGATCTAACATTGATAAACTCCCATATCTGTTAGGTGAAATACTGCAGTGTGCAATCACAGCAGCAAGATTTGTGGCCCATTGCCTTGAGAAAAGGGCAACCAGTGGAGCACAAACAACATTATAAATACCACCAATATTTATCTGTTTATTTATTATCTTCCCCTACTATTAGTACTACAATTATTTGCACATTGATAAAACACTGTACATAGCTGATAATATAACACTTGAAATGTCTTTATCTTTTTTGAAACCTTTTTGAGTGCAATATTTACTGTTAAATTCGAATCGTTTTTTGTTGATGTTGTTTAGTATCTTCTCACTTTTGTTTATTTTACTTACTTTGGCAATGTAAACACGTTTCCCATGCCAATAACGCCCCTTTGAATTACATTTACATTTAAGTCATTTAGCAGACGCTCTAATCCAGAGCGACTTACAAATTTGTGCATTCAATTTAGGATAGCCAGTGGGACAACCACTCCTTTTTTATTTTATTTGTAATGGGGGGAAAAGGGATTACTGTTATACTATTCCAGGTATTCCTTAAAGAGGTAGGGTTTCAAGTGTCTCCGGAAGGTGGTCAGTGACTCCGCTGTCCTGGCGTCGTGGGGGAACTTGTTCCACCATTGGGGTGCCAGAGCAGCGAATAATTAGATAGATAGATAGAGAGAGAGAGAGAGAGAGAGAGAGAGAGAGAGAGAGAGAGAGAGAGAGAGAGAGAGAGAGAGAGAGAGAGAGAGAGAGAGAGAGAGAGAGAGAGAGAGATCCTACCACAGAAACAGTGTAGGGTGACATGACAAATAGAGGCTATTGTAGTCTGCCCTGACAACCCAATCCTTGCTTTCAGGTGTGTCATGTGGATGAACTATGCCAAGATTCGTCTAACATAACATACCATGAATAATTAATCAGGTTACGCTTCTTATATTTAGTTTCCTGGCCTTTGAATGCTTGGAAGTAAATCATGTCTGCCTAATTAATCATTTCTGCATAATCCATTTTATGTTGTTGTTAATATGCATTGAGAACTGTAATCATTATACAGACATTTCATTCAGCAAACCGATCTATTCAAAGTAATGTGTTGAGCTATTTACTTTTTTCTATATGAAAACGCTCATATATCCCAACCACACTTGTTGTCCACCAAACAAACAAAACTAGGCCTATATTAAATTCTGATCAATGCCACATTGCCTAATATAAAGTCTACATTTCACTTTTCAATGTGTTTAATTGAAAAATGTTAACAAATATGTTTTTTGACAAATATGTGTATGGTTATGGTAAATAAATACTATAATTGCATAATACTTTTAATACTACACTCCTATACAATTGTGGTGTCTTCAGGCTAGTTTGAAGATACAGTATTTTGAACATAGTCTTCAGGAGCACATGGCCATTGGCCACCTGGACCTATTTTTTACAATCTAGTGGCGCATTCAAGACAACTGGGAACTCAGAAAAATACGAGGTCAAATCATGACGTCAGTGATCTTCAGGTCGGAAAGTCAGTTCCCGAGTTGGAATTGCGAGTTGGATGACCGTTCAAAATTATATTTCCCAGTCGGAGCTCGTTTTTTTTTTAGTTTCCAGTTGTCTTGAGCGCACTGAAGTCGGAGATTTCCGAGTTCCCAGTTCCTATGAAGGCGGCATATGACTTGAACATATTTAACGAATTAGCAAATCTAAAAATTCCGATTTTCCTAGTTCCGAATAGTATTTGACCGCGGCAATTGTATTCTCACAGCCAATGAGATGGGAGGGGAGTGGGCCAACGCCCACGACATGCTCTCGGCCAGATGGCTATACATTAGCGCCATTTTGAGTGTGGCATTCATCACTTTTGGAAAAAGTTTCAAAAAGAAAGATCAATGACGAAAGTATTTAACCCACACACAACTTTATGAATCATTACACTCTAAATAGTTTAATAATGCATTTGTTTTTATGCTTTAGTTCAAGGTTAACAAAATCTAAGTTTCATAACGCACTCCGTTGCATAATTTTCTACTTCACAGGTGTCTTGACTCGCTTATGATGGAGGAAAGCTGTCCCCACGCCCTCACGTACCCATTTGACGTCACACTGCAGCGATTACAAAAGCAAACAGCGGCGCCTGAGATAAGGCCATCATCATCAGATCGGAAATAATTATCAGACAAGAACAGGTACATTAATGATACTTAATTGTGCATGAAGTTGCTCACTGAAATGTTACATTGTTACGGGTGTAGGTTTGTTTTTACTGCTACTGTTTAGAAGTGTTTTTTTTTAAATTTTTTTACCTGCTCTTCAACATGTGTTATAAAATGTTTTGTAACAGGCTTGTGTAACGAAGGGCAGCTACCATAAAACATGACATTTCTTATCTTATTCGTTCAAATAGAGCTCTGGAACATCAGGAAAATGATTAAAACTAAAATCTGTACCATATGATTTTTTTCATTTTGATTGTAACTGCCCTTTATTGGTTTGTTACGGTATTGTCACAAAAATGCTTCAAATGTGATTTTTTTTTACCATCACATAGATTCACTTTATAATATTATAATAGCATGTTTTGTAAATGTATCATTATTACTCCCCTTAGTATACCATTAAATGTGTCTTGTGTTCCAATTTCTTTCAGACTGTGAACCATGGCTCTCCGAGGTGCTGTGAATCGTTTGCTTGCCAACACTCAGAAATGTGCTGCCATCTCTGTCTCCCGAGCACAGGGCACAGCAGCAGCTTTACCAGCCCAAAACGGTGAGTATACCTGTGAGCATATAATAACAGAATGGGATTGTATTAAAATGAAATTGTTAAGTGTCTAGAATGTAATGCAGCTTTTTTGTTGGTCTCGGTTGATGACTTATTTCAGAAGCCGAAGTGGTCGCCAAGAAGCCTCCAAAAGCACGTAAGTCATTTAAACAAGTTAAACTCATAAAGCTACAGTATTGGACAAACCGCATCATGTGTACATTACCAATGTATTACATATGTAAACTTAACCACTAGGCGCCTCTGGCTACACATACAGACATGATGTACTATATTATGAAACGTGGTGGTAGACAGTATGACATCACCATGTCTGCGTTGCCTCATGTTCTAATGATATTCCCATGGCCCTCTACAGCCAAGGTGCAGTTTAACTGGCGTGACGCCCTGGAGCTGGACGGCCTGCTAACAGAGGAGGAGGTGATGATCAGAGACTCCTTCAGGACCTACTGCCAGGAGAAGCTAATGCCACGCATCCTCATGGCCAACAGACACGAACGTAAGCACTGACAAATGGCCAACAGACACGAACGTAAGCACTGGCACATGGCCTACAGAGACAAACGTAAACACAGGCTGAGGTGCTATTCCTGGAGAGAAGACTTCTCATGAGAATCTTCTCTGTAGAACCTCTTTTGTAACAGTTCCAGTACACATAACTTGATACAAGTTAGACCATGAACTTCTCTATAAACTATTTATTGACAGCTGAAAGTGAAAAGGTCATGCTCATTGTCTGTTTGTTTGTCCCCCCCCCAGATTTCCATCGTGAGATTGTCTCCGAGATGGGAGAGCTGGGCGTCTTAGGGCCAACCATCCAAGGTAAACAACATGTGACACATGCATCATCCTGTTATTGATGTGTTCATATTCGATCTTCATGCTCAACTCTATTAGTCCACTAATTGTCCTTCTTCACCCAACTTTGTCTCTTCTTCACCCAGGTTATGGTTGTGCCGGCACCAGCTACGTGGCCTACGGGCTCATAGCGAGGGAGGTGGAAAGGGTGGACAGTGGCTACCGGTCAGTCATGAGTGTCCAGTCCTCACTGGTCATGCACCCCATCAACGCCTACGGTACAGAGGAACAGAAGGAGAAGTGGCTACCCAGGCTAGGTATGAAATAACTACTATATATTCCATAGTAAAATTATACACAGTATAGAAATTACAGCTGGGTAATATAGACAAAAATCCATATCACAATAAATTGACTGAAGTATCACGATAACGATAAATTGAACGATAAATTCATAACATTAATGTGCGCCAGTTACTTTTTTATATTAGCCTTAAAACTACTACTACTTTGGATGTTGTAGCTATCAATTGAAGAAAGGGAAAACCCTCACTCACTCCGCTATCAATTGTCCCGTTAGCAATAGCCCATATTAGCAGACTTACTTACATTTCACATTATTTTTTTCTTCATACTTCATTTCAAACTTCACATTCCTCTAGTAAAGGCTACTTATCGTTATTATCCATATCAGTAAAATGTCCTCGATAAATGGTCGGTTCGGTCAGTATCAATAATTCTCGGTTTAGAAACCGTGTTGGGTTTCAGTTCATAAGTATGAAGAAAAATAACGTAGATGAACGATCAACAGGTGTTTATACATCATTAATATTGGCAGATAGACAGAAGTCTAAGTTGTTGTACAAAGTAAATGTGGTGAGAAATTGAGAATGAAATTAATGCAGACTGAAGCAGAGCTCATATTCCAGTTAGGTAAAGCCTCTTCTTAATCCCATCTCTCTCTGTGTAATGCTGCAGCTCGTGGGGAGATCTTGGGCTGTTTCGGCCTGACTGAGCCCAACCACGGCAGTGACCCCGCGGGCATGGAGACCAAGGCCAAGTACAACCCCTCCAGTGGCACCTTCACCATCAGCGGAGCTAAGACATGGTAAGGTTCTTCTAACGTGGGTACCAGTCTGTCTATCTGACCAGTCTGCACGTATGTCTGACTGGGTAGGTTCTAGTCTGGGTTACCATACCAGTCTGTCTATCTGACCAGTCTGCACGTATGTCTGACTGGGTAGGTTCTAGTCTGGGTTACCATACCAGTCTGTCTATCTGACCAGTCTGCACGTATGTCTGACTGGGTAGGTTCTAGTCTGGGTTACCATACCAGTCTGTCTATCTGACCAGTCTGCACGTATGTCTGACTGGGTAGGTTCTAGTCTGGGTTACCATACCAGTCTGTCTATCTGACCAGTCTGCATGTATGTCTGACTGTGTAGGTTCTAGTCTGGGTTACCATACCAGTCTGTCTATCTGACCAGTCTGCATGTATGTCTGACTGGGTAGGTTCTAGTCTGGGTTACCATACCAGTCTGTCTATCTGACCAGTCTGCATGTATGTCTGACTGGGTAGGTTCTAGTCTGGGTTACCATACCAGTCTGTCTATCTGACCAGTCTGCATGTATGTCTGACTGTGTAGGTTCTAGTCTGGGTTACCATACCAGTCTGTCTATCTGACCAGTCTGCATGTATGTCTGACTGGGTAGGTTCTAGTCTGGGTTACCATACCAGTCTGTCTATCTGACCAGTCTGCATGTATGTCTGACTGGGTAGGTTCTAGTCTGGGTTACCATACCAGTCTGTCTATCTGACCAGTCTGCATGTATGTCTGACTGGGTAGGTTCTAGTCTGGGTTACCATACCAGTCTGTCTCTGCTTTAGTTGTCTTCTTTGAAAGACTTGGTAATCTCTCATTCAACGCAAAAAGTGAAGGCTGGATCAAGGTTTTGCTTTAGCCAACTGCTTTGTCATTGTGGTGATTTGGCAACCAGGCTAACTAGGTACAGTAGTTTTGCCTCAACTATAAAATGTCCCAATGAAGAGACGTAGCCCTTCAGTTATATGGCTGCTGAAAATGCAGGCGTAACGAACAGTACTTACACAATGTTTGTTGTCTCCACTGTGGGAACTTTAGGTGGCATGACATGAAGGTTAGATGTACGTGTGACTGTCTCAAAATGTAAAGAACGTTATGAGAGGGACCTCATGCACAGCTTCATGCATAGCCATCCATATATAGATGCAGTAACCTTACACCAGTTAGTGGCACAGCCCACACCAGACTGTTTGCACTGTTACGTCTATATATGTTTCGTAATGCAAGCAGTAACCCCATTGCCCTTGTATTAAAACTCAGGGCCATAATTATGAGCTCTTATAGTTGGCCCATTACCTTTTCCCTGCCTGTGTCCCCAACCATATGATATGCCCTTACCCTCGCATATGATGTAGTTGAACCTATTATACCCTAACTCTCACTATGGGTAACTCATTTACCGTATTCTCTCCCCTATCCCCCAGGATCACCAACTCACCCGTGGCGGACATCGCAGTAGTCTGGGCCAAGTGTGAGGATGGTAGGATCAGAGGTTTCATCCTGGAGCGTGGCATGAAGGGCCTGGCAACACCTAAGATCGAGGGCAAGTTCTCTCTGCGGGCGTCGGCCACGGGCATGATCCTGATGGACGAGGTGGAGGTGCCCCAAGAGAATATGCTGCCCAACGTCTCTGGACTGGCTGTGAGTAGGCCTAACTGTTGGACTCCATCACATAATGCTGTTTAGAAATACTGTAAATTTAATGATTTACTATAGGAACAATTCAGACTGAACCGAAGTTGCTGGCTGAGATACGCCAAAAGTATGTGGTCACCTCTTAAAATTAGTGGATTCGGCTATTTCAGCCACTCCCGTTGCTGACAGGTGTATAAAATAGAGTACACAGCCATGCAATCGCCATAGACAAACATTGTCAGTAGAATGGTCTTACTGAAGAGCTCAGTGACTTTCAAAAGTGGCACCGTCATAGGATGCCACCTTTTCAACAAGTCAGTTCGTCAAGTTTCTGCCCTGCTAGAGCTGCCCTGGAAGCGTGTAATGTGTAAAAATCGTCTGTCCTTGGTTGCAACACTCACTACAGAGTTACAAACTGCTGTTTTTCATGGTTCGGGCTTGGCCCGTTAGTTCCAGTGAAGGGAAATCTTAACGCTACAGCATACAATGACATTCTAGACGATTCTGTGCTTCCAACTTTGTGGAACATTTTGGGGAAGCACTTTCCTGTTTCAGCATGACAATGCCCCCGTGCACAAAGCGAGGTCCATACAGAAATGGTTTGTTGAAAAATCGGTGTGGAAGAACTTGACTGGCCTGCACAGAGCCCTGACCTCAACCCCATCGAACACCTATGGAATTAATTGGAACACCGACTGCAAGCCAGGCCTAATCGCCCAACATCAGTGCCCGACCTCATTAATGCTTGTGGCTAAATGGAAGCAAGTCCCTGCAGCAATGTTCCAACAGCTAGTGGAAAGCCTTCCCAGAAGAGTGGAGGCTGTTATAGCAGCAAAGGGGGAATCAACTCCATATTATTGCCCGTGATTTTGGAATTACATGTTCGATGATCGGGTGTCCACATACTTTTGGCCACGTAGTGTATGTTTCGAGAACTCTTGAGATGTGAGATTAGAAAACAAAGTCAGTTCTCTAAAGATGAACATGTTCTGTTAAAATATATATATATATATATATATATATATATATATATATATATATATAGATATATATATATATATATATATATATATATATATATATATATATATATATATATATATATATATATATATATATATATATATATATACATACACATATGTGTCTCATTTCTGGTCAGGGACCCTTCGGCTGCCTGAATAACGCCCGCTATGGTATCGCCTGGGGAGCTCTGGGTGCTGCAGAGTTCTGCTTCCATGCTGCACGCCAGTACACACTGGACAGGTAAACATCTCCCTCACTACTCATTATGTCATCAACTCTATTAATTCAGAGCACTCTTTGGTATGAACGAGGGATTATATTATAGTAGCACTGACGAAGTAGCTTGTTCAGGAACACGTTAGCTCAGCAGTAAAGAGTATTGAAGGGAGTCAAGCTGCCATCCTGAACCTTATTTCAGCATTTTAGGACCATATTATATGTTGCTGACATCTGATTCACTCTCTTTTGTTTTGGTCCAATCAGGATCCAGTTTGGCGTGCCCCTGGCCAGAAACCAGCTGATGCAGAAGAAGATGGCTGACATGCTAACAGAGATCACCATTGGCCTGCAGTCCTGTCTGGCCCTAGGCAGACTCATCGACGACAAGAAGTGAGTGGAGTCCCCACTGAGTGAGCGAAATGAATGAAAGTCTGCTTTTGGATTTGAAGAGAGACTTCATTGGTCTGTGTACTAGTTTCATTTTGAATATGTGAAGAGAGACTGTGTGTGTCCCCATCTTTCTTCATTATATTAGACACTGACCTCTATCCTGTCTGTCTTCCCTTCCTTTAGAGCGGCCCCTGAGATGATCTCCATGCTGAAGAGGAACAGCTGTGGAAAGTCCCTGGACATCGCCAGGCAGGCCCGAGACATGCTGGGAGGCAACGGCATTGCAGACGAGTACCACATCATCAGACATGTCATGAACCTGGAGGCCGTCAACACATACGAAGGTGAGGAGAAGATTGATTGTATATGGTATTTAAAGGATGGAAAGGTTGGATAGAAGAATGGGTGATTGGAACATGAGCAGATAGTAGTCGGGATTGGAGAGAGAATGAGACTTGATGACCAGCAGAGGTCAGTAGTGTACAAATTAAGTGGTACAGTCACTTGTTGGTTTTGAGGTATAATTCTCAGTCAGGGAAGGGGAAGACGGTTCATAATAATGTCTGGAATGGAGTAAATGGAAACCATGTGTTTGATGTATTTAAAATCAAAATCAAATACAACAGGTGTAGACCTTACCATGAAATGCTTACTTACAAGCCCTTAACCAACAATGCAGTTTTAAGAAAATAGAGTTAAGAAAATATTTACGAAATAAACTAAAAGTGCGGATGTTGCCTGTAATCCATGGCTTCTGGTTTGGATATGTACGTATGGTCACTGTGGAGACGATGTCGTCGATGCACTTATTGATGAATCCGGTGACTGAGGTGGTGTACTCCTCAATGCCATTGGATGAATCCCGGAACATATTCCAGTCTGTGCTAGCAAAACAGTCCTGTAGCATAGCATCCGCATCATCTGACCACTTCCATATTGAGCGAGTCACTGGTACTTCCTGCTTTAGTTTTTGCTTGTAAGCAGGAATCAGGAGGATAGAATTATGGTCAGATTTGCCAAATGGAGGGCGAGGGAGAGCTTTATACGTGTCTCTGTGTGTGGCGTAAAGGTGGTCTAGAGTTTTTTTTCCTCTGGTTGCACATGTGACATGCTGGTAGAAATGAGATGCATTAAAGTCCCCAGCCACTAGGAGCGCCGCTTCTGGATGAGCATTTTCTTGTTTGCTTATGGCCTTATACAGCTCGTTGAGTGCGGTCTTCGAGCCAGCATCGGTTTGTGGTGGTAAATAGATGGCTACAAAAAATATAGATAAACTCTCTTGGTAGATAGTGTGGTCTACAGCTTATCATGAGGTACTCTACCTCAGGCGAGCAATACCTCGAGACTTCTTTAATATTAGACATCGCGCACCAGCTGTTATTAACGAATAGACACACAACCCCACCCCTCGTCTTACCGGACGTAGCTGTTCTGTCCTGCCGATGCACGGAACAATTTGATACCATACCACTGAATCCGCTCCAGCCATTACGAGCACGTCCTCCCCAATTAAGATGCCACCAACCGCCTTTGTTCTCAGTATGTATGTATTATATATCCCTACAATATCTAATGTAAATGTAATTTAAATTAAAGTTTAGCCTCACTTGCACATTTCCCTGATCAAATAATCAACCCACAATGTCTTTGTGTTTGCTTGTTCTTCTAGGTACCCATGACATCCATGCCTTGATCCTGGGCCGAGCCATCACTGGACTGCAGTCATTCACTGTTGAGAAATAAACTCTCCTCCTTGTCCTCCTATTACAATGGACTGAATAACGGACTTAAAGTAGACTGGGAAAGCCTTGAGCTACCCATCTATCTGCCTTCTGAGAAGTAATCACTGATGGTGTGTGCCTGACTGCTGATGGACTTCTATCCCCAAGTGCCTCTGTTTGGTCAGAGAAAATTAAAGGAAAAGTCAACCTAAAAGAAACACTGGTTCCAAATATGAGACGGTTTTGCTTATGTATCTGTACTCAATCGATGATTGATATACAATGTCAGCTTGAAAGTTGATATTGTAGCTACAATCTCCTACTACGAAGGGATGTCACAATGGTATGTAGCATGTTGATAAGGGATCTGTATAGATTAGAAATATATATATTTTATTGAATAAGTGATTTTAATGGGAAGGAGGATGTATGTGTATCTTTACAGCTTTGTTCACAACCAGTATATTTAATTTCTAAGTGAAATAAATTAACTGTACATAAAGCATATATTGAAATTATGAATTGTCTAATTTCGTAATTGTGATACTGACGGCTGACCTAAATCAGTGCTCTTTTTGAGGACAGAGAAAGTCCCAATTCAATGTTCTGCCAAATCAAAATAGTCATGGGATTAGGGACTCATTTGCAAATTATATTTATCATTTTTTCACATTATCTGGTCAAAAAAGCCATTGACACGCAATCACACTAACTGAAATTACAAGGAAATAGAGGCGAGCCATGGCTTTGTAACACACTCAAGTTTATTACCCAAAACAGCACCTACGAAAGCACCAGTCTTAAACTGCAGAGCAGGTATATTTTATCAGCTAGTTAACCCTTGAACCAGCACAGTTATACTATAACCAACCACCACATGGGGCTGGCACAGTACAGTGGGTTCATCAATGGCTGTCCAAAGGCTGCCAAACTGCACTCTTAGAAAAAAGGGTTATTCGGCTGTCCCCATAGGAGAACCCTTTTTGGTTTCCATGTAGAACCCTCTGTGTAAAGGGTACTACCTTGAACCAAAAAGGGTTATTCAAAGGGTTCTCCTATGGGGACAGCCGAAGAACCCTTTTAGGTTGTAGATGGCACGTTTTTTTTTAAATACAATTGTAGGAAGGGGCTTCGAAAGTGGTTAGTAGTTGGAAAACCTGGGGTATTCAGTACAGACTAGTTAGTCACTATTCTGATTAGAGTCAAGCCAGTCCTTAACAACCCATGAGTGGGATTTCTGAGGGATTAATAGGATAGAGTAGGATCTTCACTACAGACTACACTCTCAGAAAAAATAAATGTTTTCTAGAACCTAAAAGGGTTCTTCTGTCCCCATAGGAGAACCCTTTTTGGTTCCAGGTAGAACCCTTTCCACAGAGGGTTCTACATGGAACCCAAAATAGTTCTACCTGTAACCAAAAAGGGTTCTACATGGAACCAACAAGGGTTCTCCTATGGGGACAGCCAAAGAACCCCTTTGGAACCCTTTTTTTCTAAGAGTGTAGTCACTCAGTACTCTGGTGTAGAGTCAGGGCCCTGTTGAGTCCTGCCAGGGCCTGGGAGACTGTGTGGAGCTCAGTGTTGATCCTACTGCAGCTCTCTAGCACCAGAGTCAGCTCCTGGAGCATGGCCTGCATGGCATGGCTGTTCTCCTCATAGACAGTGTACATGTGCTCCTTCATCCGCCCGCAGATCTCACCCACCTGATGGAGAGCATTGACATGGAATAGTATGCAGAGTACGCTATAATGAAACTGTTGTAGAGTCTATGACAGTGTTTCCCAAACCCAAGGGGTGCACGTTTTGGTTTTTGACCTAACACTACACAGCTGATTCAAATTATCAAAGCTTGATGATTAGTTGATTATTTGAATCAGCTGTGTATTGTTAGGGCAAAAACCAAAACATAGACCACTTGGGGTCCCGAGGACTGAGTTTGGGAAACCCTGGTGTATGACAATGTAGTACAACACAACGGCCTACAAATATAATATACCTATTTATACGTATGTGCATTTGTTTTCTTGAAGTAAATACACATTGGGAAAGTACAGTGGGGATAAAAAGTATTTAGTCAGCCACCAATTGTGCAAGTTCTCCCAGTTAAAAAGATGAGAGAGGCCTGTAATTTTCATCATAGGTACACGTCAACTATGACAGACAAAATGAGGAAAAAAAAATCCAGAAAATCACATTGTAGGATTTTTAATGAATTTATTTGCAAATTATGGTGGAAAATAAGTATTTGGTCAATAACAAAAGTTTCTCAATACTTTGTTATATACCCTTTGTTGGCAATGACACAGGTCAAACGTTTTCTGTAAGTCTTCACAAGGTTTTCACACAGTGTTGCTGGTATTTTGGCCCATTCCTCCATGCAGATCTCCTCTAGAGCAGTGATGTTTTGGGGCTGTCGCTGGGCAACACGGACTTTCAACTCCCTCCAAAGATTTTCTATGGGGTTGAGATCTGGAGACTGGCTAGGCCACTCCAGGACCTTGAAATGCTTCTTACGAAGCCACTCCTTCGTTGCCCGGGCGGTGTGTTTGGGATCATTGTCATGCTGAAAGACCCAGCCACGTTTCATCTTCAATGCCCTTGCTGATGGAAGGAGGTTTTCACTCAAAATCTCACAATACATGGCCCCATTCATTCTTTCCTTTACACGGATCAGTCGTCCTGGTCCCTTTGCAGAAAAACAGCCCCAAAGCATGATGTTTCCACCCCCATGCTTCACAGTAGGTATGGTGTTCTTTGGATGCAACTCAGCATTCTTTGTCCTCCAAACACGACGAGTTTTGAGTTTTTACCAAAAAGTTCTATTTTGGTTTCATCTGACCATATGACATTCTCCCAATCCTCTTCTGGATCATCCAAATGCACTCTAGCAAACTTCAGACGGGCCTGGACATGTACTGGCTTAAGCAGGGAGACACGTCTGGCACTGCAGGATTTGAGTCCCTGGCGGCGTAGTGTGTTACTGATGGTAGGCTTTGTTACTTTGGTCCCAGCTCTCTGCAGGTCATTCACTAGGTCCCCCCGTGTGGTTCTGGGATTTTTGCTCACCGTTCTTGTGATCATTTTGACCCCACGGGGTGAGATCTTGCGTGGAGCCCAAGATCGAGGGAGATTATCAGTGGTCTTGTATGTCTTCCATTTCCTAATAATTGCTCCAACAGTTGATTTCTTCAAACCAAGCTGCTTACCTATTGCAGATTCAGTCTTCCCAGCCTGGTGCAGATCTACAATTTTGTTTCTGGTGTCCTTTGACAGCTCTTTGGTCTTGGCCATAGTGGAGTTTGGAGTGTGACTGTTTGAGGTTGTGGACAGGTGTCTTTTATACTGATAACAAGTTCAAACAGGTGCCATTAATACAGGTAACGAGTGGAGGACAGAGGAGCCTCTTAAAGAAGAAGTTACAGGTCTGTGAGAGCCAGAAATCTTGCTCGTTTGTAGGTGACCAAATACTTATTTTCCACCATAATTTGCAAATAAATTCATTAAAAATCCTACAATGTGATTTTCTGGATTTTTTTTTCTCAATTTGTCTGTCATAGTTGATGTGTACCTATGATGAAAATTACAGGCCTCTCTCATCTTTTTAAGTGGGAGAACTTGCACAATTGGTGGCTGACTAAATACTTTTTTTCCCCACTGTACATTTTGAATTGTTGAGCAACTGGTGTGATAACTATGCCCTATGTAAATAGTCATTGAACACTGGTCACTTTGATAATGTTTACATACGGTTTTATCTACTTTATATGTATACACTGTATTATTGCCAAGGCTCATCCTATATAGCTACTGCTGTACACATCTTTTCTATTCATATACTGTCCATAATGTCTATACACACCATCATATACATATTCCGGACTCTTGACATTGCTCGTTCTAATATTTCTGAATTCCTTTCTATTTTGGGGATTTGGGTGTATTGTTTTGTATTGTTAGGTTTTACTGCACTGTTGGAGCTAGGAACATAAGCATTTTGCTACACCTGCAATAACATCAGCAAAATATGTGTACGCGACCAATAAAATGTGATTTGATAAACCGTGATGTTGGCAGTTAGCTACATACCTTTTCCACTAGCTTGTCCTGAAAGTTGTCCATAATCTTTTGGTCCATGGTGCGGCTGTCGTTTATCTTCCCAACCAGGTCCTGGACCTTCTTGCCAATGTCATCTATCCTGGAACTTAAAGCACATTTAGTACATTTAGTATACAAGAAAGTACATTTAGATCTGTCATCTTAGATCAACATTAACGCATTGGTTGACTTTCCACAGATTACTTGACTTTACTATCTGTCCCCAAATCGCGTGATAAATTAGCTGAAAACTTGACCGGGGTTGGCCTTTAACTAATGACGAATAATTAAAGAGTCCTCACTAGGGACTTCATTACCTTATCTGATGTTCCTGACTCTCATCCGTGCTAATGGTCATGGAGGAAGAAGATCTCTCACTGGTTGAGTCGTGGTCAGTGCCTAGACCTTCATCAGGGTCCATCTGGGGGCAGGAGACATTCATCTGCAATCACAAGAACATACAGCGGAACTATTACAACACAACAATATAAAACATGATTAGCTAGCTAGCTAGATATCTATAGAATGTCAGAAAAGGTCAATCAATAGCTGAACCTGGGAAGTCTCATGTCTGGGTTTAGGAGTTGATTGTGAGGTGGAAGGCAGCTTGTCAAAGAAAAAGGGATCCATTTGCAGATCTTCAGATTACTGTACATATGGGAAATAAATGTCAATGTTCAGACTTTGGCCTTATTTCTGGAGGTACAATGGCTATGCACTTCGCGTGACAGAACAGTGGGGGTCGCTGTTTCACTAGCTAACGTTAACCAACTGTTAGGTAGGTAAATTAATGGGTGGATAAGAAATTAACTAGCCAACTGTGACAGTCGGTTGGGCAGGGAACATTTTACGATCTGGAATGAAAAACAACGAACCCTATAGAAGACAGCTATTTTAAAAGTCTGCTTCTACAGGTAACATTACCTAGTTGGCTAGCTTACGTTACCGCATTTTAAAACCGGTAGCTACTTTACAGCGACGATGAAGGCGTGTTTACATGCGAACGTTAGCTAGCTAGTTATGCTATCCTGGCTTGCTAGCTAGTTAAATGGTACGATTTTTTATTTTATTTTTACAATTCTCTGAGTATAATATTTTAAAAATAGCTAGATACTTACCACAAGCGTCGTGTAAGAAAAATAAGTATTTGATTTTGAGATGTAATATCAAATTGCGCGCCAGGTAGTTTCCCGGGAAAAGTCTCGAGCGCTGGCATGCTCATGTTTGTCTAGTGGGATAATATTGAGAGCCTTCCAGGGTCAGCTACTAATTTTGAGGGAATTACATTTTATTTGAGTTAACACAACCACAGTCAGACATGATGATTCAGTTGATTGTTAATCTAGATTACCCAGAAGTAAAATTCTCTAGTGAAATAAGTAAAACCACAGATAGAACAATGAGACCGATATTTCACCGGATGTATAAATGTGAAGCATCCGCCCAGTGGCCGGCAGTGAGAGAAGATGGAAGGAGATGGATTTTGGCCGAAATTCTGCAAATGTTCTCATCGCTGAAACCTTTGATCTCAATACAGTTTTCTGTTCCCAAAACTAGAATCTGTTATTAACAGAGTGGACTACGTTTTGTAGACTTTAACCTTTGCCAAAGTTGTAATAGTTTTTTGTTGTTTAGAAGGAGTGCAAAGGCGAATTGAGTTATTGCACACACGCACTTCACAGAGTGGGCGTTCCCTAACGGAAATATGCAGATGTATGCTAGAACGGGCTAATAGGATCTCGTTAGCTCGTGCGTGGCTCTGCCCACTATGACTAATTTGTTCCCATTGGAAACGACAGGCTGTGGTCTATCTTGGTTCAGTTATAAAAATCTTTGGTAAAGCATTACTTGTTTTACTTCTGTTGGGGAATAGAGTACCACAGTATGAGTCATAATACCTATAAAACCTAGCGGTCAAACAGGGAAATGGTTCCAATCGTTTTTCCACCATACATTTTTCCCATTGGGGATTTTTAGAAACACTTAAAATAAGGGCTGTGTTTCGTGTAGGCTTACCCTGGCGTGGCGTTTTGATAACCGTGTAAATCTCTCTAGGACAAGGTGACTAGTATTACAACTTTCAAGAGTAATTTACATTTACATTACATTTTACGTCATTTAGCAGACGCTCTTATCCAGAGCGACTTACAGTTAGTGCATACATTATTCTTTTTTTATTTGTTATTTTAATATCTATATATATATATTTTTTTCATACTGGCCCCCCGTGGGAAACGAACCCACAACCCTGGCATTGCAAACGCCATGCTCTACCAACTGAGCCGAACTGAATTCCTTAGCCGAGGCCTCACCCCACAGTTTGGGATACTTTAGGTCTAGTGGACTGAACTCCACGGTGAAGGAAGTTTCTGATGACTCCACCAACAGAGTGGAGCAGAGACCAAGCTTTGTGGAATCTAGCTCAGACTACATTGATTCGCCCAAGGTCAATAATAATACAAAATAAAAACAATTTATGAAATAACCACAGACTGTTTGCTCATTGCTGCTAAAATGGCAACTCAGCACAAATGCACATGTGCAATTCAATCTCAACAAGGAAACAGTCGATGGTTGTATTTGATTAACGTTTATTGAAAAAGTATGTATTTCAGCAAACAAAGAAAGACACGCAACTACAGAGGACAAACATAGGTACAAGATAGGCGTAACGTTATTATTATTTATTTTTTGTATTGACCTTGGGCGAATTGATGTAGTCAGAGCAAGATTTCACAAAGCCTGGTCTCTGCTCCACTCAGTTGGTGGAGTCATAAGAAAATTATTTCACCATGGAGTGGAGTTCAGTCTGCACAAGTGTCTCAACTTTGAATGATGCAATTCATGTTCCACTTTTAAATAATAAAAAGAGCATGAAACTCAAATTAACAAATCCCCCCCTTTCATTTTACAAGATTTATAACCCCCAGTAATAGTTAAACATTTAATTTGGGAGGTATTTCATCTTTTACACATAAAAGACTCGAAATCCGACAATCAAATGAATGAGGCATATAATTAGGAAAGCCTCTCCATTCTTTTGTGTGACATTGCGCAAACAAAAAATAACGTGGTGCCTTATGGGATTCCACTTCGCTCTGAGGCCAGCAGTGTTGCCATATCGCGATAAATTGCCTAAATTGATGCGATAAGTATAACAATGTGCACTACTACTAGTTTGATGGTTGTAGCCATTGTCCCATTAACAATCATACATATTAGCAAACGTATTTAATTTCAAACTTCACATTTCTCTATAATAGGCTACTTATCGTAATGAACGTTATCAGCAAAATGCCTGCGATAAGTGATCGGTATGGTCGGTGTTAATAATTTTCACCTCTAGTCTAATTAGCCCCATACTCAACTCTACATAATTTTCACTCGCTCAGTTTTGGGACACTTGTGCATATGGCGGAGGCGCGCGTGAACGCGCAAATGGAGGGGGAAGGGGGCGATTTGAGATTGAGTCATTACTATTGTGCAAAGGAAGGAAGCGAAGTCTCATCCCTCGCTAACGGAAACTCTTGGCCAAACCCCTCCCTTCCACTAATTTCACCCGTGTTTATCATATGCAAAAATACAGTTTTTGTTTTCATGAATTTTTATAATATAGGCAATTTTGAATTTGTAGCTGTGGAATCTAGTGGAAACCGTTTATCATCCACACACGGGCTTGAAAATCACTGCACCATCTTAAGCACCGCCTTCACATTTTTATTTTTTTTACATTTTAGTCATTTAGCAGACGCTCTTATCCAGAGCGATTTACAGTTAGTGAGTGCATACATTTTTCATACTGGCCCCCCGTGGGAAACAAACCCACAACCCTGGCGTTGCAAGCGCCATGCTCTACCAACTGAGCTATAAATGACGAAAACCCAAAACCAGGAACTACTGCGGCTCGTAATCACAATTCTACGTGAGCCTTGACAGATTCTCGCTGTTTCATCTGTCCATGAGAGATTAGCTGATTGTCAACCGACACTACCTTCTTCTGCATTGACTTCTGTTCTGATCCTCTGGTTTGATCATGGGGGAGTGGATTAGGGGGCGGGACTACCCGAGGTTTCTTGTTCTCACAGTAATCCGCCAATCCTTTCTTGGTGCGCTATTCTCTCATTGCTTTTACCAGAGTGTACTGCCAGAGCGCCTTCAGCACCTGGACACCTGGACAGTGGCCACCACTCGTGCCTCCCACCTAGGCTAGATCAAGCTCTCCTGCTCAGGAACCTCCCCTGCTAGCTCACCTAGGCAACACTGAAACACTTTTTCAGAGGGTCCCAATATGATCGAACATAAAAGAAAGGGTGGTTGTGAAGACATTATCAAAGTTGAGGATTTTGGCAGACAGTATTCACTTTACAATTGAATAACTGAAATTCAAAAGGTAAGCGTTTGTCTTTTCCCCCCTGCCTATGTGTGTGTAGAGAGGTGGTACTTAAGGCAATCAATTACTCGTTTTCTTATTATGATATTGATAAGATACTATTTTGAGTGAATCATATTTACATTTACATTTTAGTCATTTAGCAGACGCTCTTATCCAGAGTAATATGCCATACTTCTGTTTTTGTGTCTATTTTTGAAATAAATAGTCAGTTAATGTACATTTTATTCTGTGTATTTAGGTCTGCATGCAGCATTGACTCATTGAAAGGCTTGGATAAGAGAATCCTAAAACCTCGGGACATTGTGGAGTAACCTTGTGGACATTGTGAAGGAACTCAACGTAGAAAACATCCTCCATTACAAAGCAGCGGACGACCACGAACACCTCGAACATGGACGTCGTAAAAAGTTTGAACCTAACAGACAAAGCAGGAAATTTGATAAAAATATTGATTAATGATGAGGATATTCTCTATAAGGAATATAAGCCTCCTCCTAGGGACATTATCCAGCTGCCTAAATCCATGCTATATCTCCTGATGGCAGCTGTCGTGGTGGTGGCTGTGGCTTACGCTATCGTCGGTCACCTCATCAAGGACCTGGCCCTGGACATAGCAGGTAGTTGGGGGGACTTTAAGGACAAGGGATGTTACATGAGATTGGGATTAACCTAACAGGTTACCTGCACTAAGTACTATATTGATCAGAGTTTTAAAAGAAAATCAAGGACCTGGCACTGGACATAGCAGGTAGTTAATCTGTTGAGGGGACTTTAAGGACAAGGAATGTTACTTGAGATTGTGAGTAGAGTAGCCTATCCGGTAACATGCGCATAATAGTGTTCTCGTTTAAAGTTCCAGTACTATATTGATCAGAGTTTTAAGTAGAAAGAACATACTGTATTTAGTGTACACTGGAGTGTGTCAATCTATTGATGGATAATTGTACATTTGAGATAGTTTTTAGCCTATTAGGTTTCTGACTGTATAGCAATTGAAAGGTTAGAGGGGGTTACCTAGGGGATAAGGAATGAGATTCGGATTAACATGTTGACTGCACACATGATTATGTATAACTTCATCAACACTATAGGCTAGAGTGGAGTATTAATAGATCATTGCAATTGCAGAATTTCTTAGAGAAGATACTTTGGACCCATTGACTTTATGTTAGCAGGTCTGTGGAAAATGATTTTGACTTAATGCAAATGTGATGCATTTGTGGGAGAACCTACTGTATAGGAGGGATTGTGTAATACCGGCCCCCATTAGTTTCTATCCTACTAATCACAGAAGAGCCACAGATAGCCTATGCTCCTTGAGGCATGATCAGCCTAAGTATGTACAAAGTAGGCCCAAAATCACACCATCCACCTCTATCTCTCCACCTCTCTCTATCCACAGACTGCCTGCTGAAGACATTAATTAATTAATTAATTTAAGAAGAAGACATGTTGTACCCATTGAGTTTCTATTGTTTAGCAGGCCCCTGTGAAAGATTTGGCTGTGATAAAAGCCTACATTTTATAAACTGGGGGAACCTAAGAGAGAAGAGTCATATCCCTAACCCCCATTAATTTCTATGCTACTAATCACACCATCGATCCCCACTTCTCTCTCTCTCCACAAAGACTGCCTGCTGGGTCCCATGGAGCCTGACCCCCTGAAGGATGGTGACCTGAAGCCCCGCGGTCCTTCCCACATGCCCCCCATCATGACCAACTCCCACCACAACGCCTTCCACGTCTGGGATACAGACGACGTCATCATCCCCATGACCCCCATCGAGGGGAGCCCTCAGGCCAGCCCGCTGCTGAATGTCATAACCCACATACCCTCCTTCTTCCCGCACTCGCACAGCGTCAACAGTCCCGCGTTGAGCCATTCCCTACCTGGCCGAGAGATTAGAGTAGAGTCGGACGCCTAAGGCCGACTATAATAACCTGAGGTCGACCACGGGCGGCAGGTAGCCTAGCGGTATGAGCGTTGGGCCAGTAACCGAAATGTCGCTAGTTAACCCTAATTGCGCCAGGGTCGCTGTTGATAATGGCAGACTCTGGCCTTGACCCCATTCTCCGAGTTTGTCTCAGGGAGAGTGGGATATGCAAAAAACACATTTCCAATTCACACGTGTGAAATACGACAAATATAAGCACCCACCCACAAGATACGGTGCAATAACCACAGAGAGAGAGCAAGAGAGAGTCAGAGGCCTAGGGACCACCCATAGGATGATGCAATAAGTACTTTATCAAAGGTGACCCACCTGCTCTGAAGATGGAGAATTGTTTAGCATTTGAGTGTCTTGTCTAGAATAATCTGAAGCCATTCAAGGCACGGTGCAATAACACTCATTTTGTATGGCTAATTTTAGTACAGTACTGGTTCAGTTATGGCGAAACCATATTTAGTTAGCTATTCCATTAGCAGTTATTCTGGTGCTCAACTTAATTTGATTCATATGGCTCATGTAATTGACAGTACCAAACCTGTAGCTTGCTAGCAGATCCCCATGCTGTACCAAACCTGTAGCATGCTAGTAGATCCCCATAGACTTCCAGTCATTGCGCTAACGCTAGTTAGCACTGGCTTGTGAAACTAGCTCTAACTTCCTTCATACTGGACACAGAGACATAAAAATGGTATCCATGAGTTCATCTGACTCTGGGGAAGTAGATAAAGGGCATTATTGCCAAAATCCCAAAGTATCCCTTTAACAGTACCAAACCCAACTTCCTTGTTTAGCCTCAACACATTCCATCCCAAAATGTCAGAGGAGCAAAAATAAGACTTTTGAATGTCTTGGGCACATCATTGTGTATTCACCGGGTGAAAAGAAAATTACAGGACATCGTAGGACTGATCGATGGACGGTTTTATGACGCTTTTATAATTTCACCAACAACGTAGTTGGAGAGTTACAGATATCCGTCAAGCTTAATTTATATGGATGGACCTTTTCTGGAGTTGGCCCAAGTGGACGTATTCTCCACAGCTTTCCTATCAAGGAAACCCCTGTTGAACAGGTTTCCCTTGGCAAAGAGGTCTTCTGACCTCAATGGGACCATCTGGCTAACTAAAGGTTAAATAAAAGGGGATCTGATTTAGAACCAAAGTTGGTGGGAGCAGTGCAATGACGGAAACGGAGTGACGGAAGCATTACCTATCATCCCTCTTTAAAGCTTGAGGGGACAGCTTAAGATTGACTGACAGTTGTGTATTAATGGCGATGGGACAAGGAGAGGGATGCCGGACTTCCCCTGTGAACTTTCCATCGGATTTGTGCCAAGTCACCACACTTCCTTCCTCTCTTTGACACCACCAGACTAGTGACTTTTCCTCCTCAAGCATTTAAACCATCAATAAACACATAAAACGGCCACATTTGCGTATTTTAAAATGCATCTAATGTTGAATGTTCCGTAGGCCTATGTATCTGTGGGCTATTCTTTCTTTACCAACATGGGTGTCAAAAGCACAGGCAGCTGGTGGCATCTTAATTGGGGAGAATGGGCTCATAATAATGTCTGGAACAGAATTAATGGAATGATATCAACCACATGGTTTCTATGTGTTTGTTACCATTACATTGACTCCATTCCAGACATTATTATGAGCAGTCCTCCCCTCACCAGCCTCCTGTGGTCAACATTTATGGTAAAGTGAGTGTGGGACAACATTCAAAACTTCAACTAAAAGAGGATATACAGTACCAGTCAAAAGTTTGGATACACCTACTCATCCCAGGGTTTTTCTTTATTTTGACTATTTATTACATTGTAGAATAATAGTGAAGACATCAAACTATGAAATAACACATATGGAATCATGTAGTAACCAAAAAAGTGTTACACTAATCAAAATATATTGTATATATTTGAGATTCTTCAAATAGCCACCCTTTGCCTTGACAGCTTTGCACACTCTTGGCATTCCCTCAACCAGCTTCATGAGGTAGTCACCTGGAATGCATTTCAATTAACAGGTGTGCCTTCTTAAGTTAATTTGTGGAATGTATTTCCTTCTTAATGCATTTGAGCCAATCAGTTGTGTTGTGACAAGGTAGAGGGGGTATACAGAAGATATCCCTATTTGGTAAAAGACCAAGTCCATATTATGGCAAGAACAGCTCAAATAAGCAAAGAGAAATGACAGTCCATCATTACTTTAGATATGAAGGTCAGTCAAATCGTAACATTTCAAGAACTTCGAAAGTTTCTTCAAGTGCAGTCGCAAAAACCATCAAGCGCTATGATGAAACTGGCTCTCATGAGTACTGCAACGGGAATGGAAGACCCAGAGTTACTTCTGCTGCAGAGGATAAGTGCATTAGTTACCTACTTGGGCCAAGAAACACGAGCAATGGACATTAGACCGGTGGAAATTTGTCCTTTGGTCATGAGTCCAAATTTGAGATTTTGGGTTCCATCTGCCGTGTCTTTGTGAGACGCGTTGTGGGTGAACGGATGATCTCCGCATGTGTATTTCCCACCGTAAAGCATGGAGGTGGTGTTATGGTGCTTTGCTGGTGACACTGTGTGATTTATTTAGAATTGAAGGCACACTTAACCACTATGGCTACCACAGCATTCTGCAGCGATACGCCATCCCATCTGGTTTGGGCTTAGTGGGACTATCATTTGTTTTTCAACAGGACAATAACCCAACACACCTCCAGGCTGTGTAAGGGCTATTTTACCAAGAAGGAGAGTGATGGAGTGCTGCATCAGATGACCTGGCCTCCACAATCCCCCGACCTCAACCCAATTAAAATGGTTTGGGATAAGTCGGACGGCAGAGTGAAGGAAAAGCAGCCAACAAGTGCTCAGCATATGTGGGAACTCCTTCAAGACTGTTGGAAAAGCATTCCAGGTGAAGCTGGTTGAGAGAATGCCAAGAATGTGCAAAACTGCCATAAAGGCAAAGGGTGGCTATTTGAAGAATCTCAAATATAAAATATTTTGATTTGTTTAACACTTTTTTGGTTACTACATGATTCTACATGTGTTATTTCATAGTTTATGTCTTCACTATTATTCTACAATGTAGAAAATAGTAAAAATAAAGAAAAACCCTTGAATGAGTAGGTGTGTCCAAACTTTTGACTGGTACTGTATGTTCGTGAGAATATGGTATTAGATTTATTCTGTTTGATAACACCTGATACTAAGGTTATTTCCAGGCTTCAGCAGGATTAGCTTAGTTGATTTACAAATTAACTAGTAGGGTTGAGTTAATTCACTTAGTAGGGGTGAGGCTAGGTTAAGGTGAGTGTGATACCCATACAGGTGACCTGGGAAGAGGTTAGCGATAGGCCTATCTAAATAGTATTTTAAGTGGAAACACACTACCTTATGCAAACAAATATTAGAGGGTAAGCACACAGTAGTAGAGCACGGCGCTTGTAACGCCAAGGTAGTGGGTTCGATCCCCGGGACCACCCATACACAAAAATGTATGCACGCATGACTGTAAGTCGCTTTGGATAAAAGCGTCTGCTAAATGGCATATTATTATTATTATTATATTAATTCAAGTACAGTGTAGTATATTTCAATGCTCTTCCTGTGGCTAGTTATGTTCCATAATTGTTGTAGTTTTCCAGAAAGGCATAGTGTTACACAATTTAAAACCCACGATTCTTATTTAAACTGGATATTTCCTGATATTGCATGTAGGATTTTATACTTTATGCTGACTGCGATCATCTCATCTGTGCGGGTCTTCCAAGTGCCCGTCTTCCTTTATTGAGAGAGCAGAGAGCGGGAGAGGGGGATTAAAGAGAGAAGGTTACACACGCAGTTTAGCCCTCTCTAATACAGACTCCTTTTATTACTTTTCAGCCAGGGAATTAGTGGATCAGAGAGCAGTTTAATCTGAGGCAGAAGCTCAGAAGCTCAGAACCTCACAGACAGCAGTTATGGAATGATCTCATCAGGACAGCAGCTTAGTGTACCAACAGGAAATGAGAAGTTTTGTCACAGTCTTGACAGATCCATCCAGTGTTCTCCCATCTCAACCATTGCACTCTGGTATAGTCTGCCATCCTAACTGACCTGCCAGAGAGGAAGGTAACTAACTGTTCAGGGATGTCACAATGAGACCAATGGTGATTAAAACAGCTGTTTCCTTCCTCTCAGGCAGCGCAGTTAGGATGGCAGAACGTCACACACTATGACTATGGAGACGGAACAGAAGTTCATCTGAGTTAATTTCATCCCCAGCTTTGGAGGACAAAGCTCAACTTCATATAGGTTAAACCAATCAAACTATTAGTGTTACTGTCAATTGGATTATAAGCCTTGACCAGAGGATATGAACCAACTACTCTGTACAAATTTTAATAGGAAACTATATAATGAGAGAATATATTTGTGTATGTTGAATAAAAATATCAAAGACTACCTGCAGGACCTCTTGGGAGGGTGAGGTATATCACATTGTCTTCAGCAGTCAGCACATGGCTGAAGCTACCTGCCGTATTAACAGCAGATCTAGGCCTAATAACAAGCATAAGCCCAGCAGTGACACTGTTAAGACACGTTGGCGTCGGGAATAGGTATTGCCCCACCACCGGTAAAGAGGGCTTAACGCAAGACTGAGGACTTCGCTAAGGTCTTTCTGACTCAGAGACCAGCTGGGACACTGCTGGAGTCCCACTTGAATGTTTGAGAACTGATTCTAGAATTTGTATGTAAAGTTTCTAGAATGTCAATTTGTGCAAGACAGTCTTACTGACTTTTTCTAGGCAGATTTTTTAACCACTCATAAACGTGTTTATACAAGGAAAAGGAATGTTTAACTTGGTTATCCAATAAAGATCAGGCCCGGATGTCAGTCCACAGAGGGAGAGTAGGCCTGCTAGGTAGATACACAGTATAACCAGTGCGGTAGAGGACATTTTGGGATAATCCTAAAACAGATTGGAGATAGGAACATGTGACGCGTGGATTACCGCTCCCTGCAGTTTGGGACATTGTAGTGACTGGCAGGTTTGACCAAACTAGAGGATTCACATTTTTCTAATAGCTACACCTGTGATGGTGCATGCAAAGTCGTGCTGTGATTGAACTATGGTAGGGAGACAGTGACTGCCAAATTACACAAAAAGCACAGCTGGTTTGGGGGAACATTGTGTGTAGACCAAATTGTTTTTTGTCATCCTCAGCTATATGGGTAATATAATGTTATAGTTAACATAACGCTGAAGGAGATATGGCGTTGCAGTAAACATGCTACAGTATCTAATCATGTAAACATGCTACAGTATCTAATCATGTAAACATGCTACAGTATCTAATCATGTAAACATGCTACAGTATCTAATCATGTAAACATGCTAAGTATCTAATCATGTAAACATGCTACAGTATCTAATCATGTAAACATGCTACAGTATCTAATCATGTAAACATGCTACAGTATCTAATCATGTAAACATGCTACAGTATCTAATCATGTAAACATGCTACAGTATCTAATAGTGTGTCACATTGAATTAATGTACACAAACCTAATTAATTACATTAATTCAGACATCTCGATACAGTCACGCTATAGTGTCAGTCGGTCTCAGGTTAGTCGAGACAGCATGTTGTAACCAACCCTGACCTACCCTTGACCCTTAAAAGGGGAATATCACTCAAAACTATATTTTTGTATTTTTTTTTCATTAGTCCACTGTTGATACAAAATGCTTATGATGCGTTTTACATCATCATGATGATGTGGCTGGAGACACTTTTTCTTAAAAGTCCAATATCTTGACAACTTGACTGCTGACATACAAAACATTTTGTGACTGTATCAACAGTGGACTAATGAAAAAAATACCAAAATATTAATTTTGAGTGAAATTCCCCTTTAAGGTTTTGACCCTATGCTAAGAGGACCTGGCTCCATGGTGTGACTGACATGGCCATCTGGCTACATGAGCTGTCCTGTCCTCAATAAGTCTGTCCCTGTCCCGTTCTGTCCTGCTCTCAACCAGGTCAGCTCCCTACTGTACCTGCCAATGCCGTGACGTGATGATTGCAACTGGATGATCTGGCCTGGCTACTACACAAATGGCTTATATATTTAGATCTCTAACGTTCTTTATTTTCTAGTGTACTTCATGCATTTGTCAATAACAAATGGATTGCGCAATGTGGCCAAGGATAAGACGTTGGCAAGGTAATGCAGGCTACCTCACACTACCCCACTCAACATGCATTGACGTCAATTCAGGACAATACACACTGTACAATACTGGTGCGGTGTGTTTGAGTTCAATCCTATTGGTGGGTCTTGACAGTGCCAACACCAATCAGCCCTGATCCCTGTTGATCCGCTATTGGCAGCAGACCAAATGTCTCTCTTCACCTATGAACAAAAGAGCATGGTCAGCAGCACAATCAGAGACAGAAGAGAGACATCCTACTCCCTATGAACTAAACAGACCAGACCCAGACGCTAATGCATTGGTGCCTACAGTATGGGAGCGCCACGCCTTAAGCAGGCCGTAACTGTGACCATTTTGTTCAATGGTAAACGGCGTGAGTGGGACATCTTCATTTATCCACCATCTTTGAAAAGAGCATGGTCAGCAGCACAACTACTGACCTCACAACTCACCCCAACTGAAACAAATCTTGTTAGAAAAGAAGTGGAGCAGACTTCAATCTGTCCAAGTATCTAAGCCCAATTGGATCATTAGTGCCAGTTGGACTAAAGTGAACACCCTTCATTTGGGTTATTACGGTCATCAAACCTTGTCAGAGCCTGGACTTTTTGAGTCAATTCATTTAAGACACTGGCAAATATAATATAATATGCCATTTAGCAGACGCTTTTATCCAAAGCGACTTACAGTCATGTGTGCATACATTTTTACGTATGGGTGGTCCCGGGGATCGAACCCACTACCCTGGCATTACAAGCGCCATGCTCTACCAATTGAGCTCCTTTGTCACAGTTTCTTTGCTAGCGATGCAGTGAAATAGTCTGGTCACTAGAGGGCAGCATGTACAAGCAGAAATAGATGACTTGCTCGTTCAACCCCAATGTAAAGGAACTAATGCTGAGGCCCAATTACCAATATAGCAAGACTTGAGAGATCTAAACAGATTGGAGTCATTGTGTAAAAATTACAGGAAAACAATTTCAAAAAGGTTATTTATATATTTTTAAAAGGTCACAAAAATTCTTACATTTAACTTGAAAACATCCATTCTGTACTCAAACCCTTTCCTTGTTTATTAAAATACATTAAATGCATTAGCCTCCTTCAAGCTACATTCAAGCAAACTCAAAATGCCACAGTTGTTTTCAAAAACACTCAACCTGAAATCATCCATCCAACATGAGCTTCGATAACTGCCAGTCTGCATCCACACACCTCAGCCATCCATCCTATTGGACATTTAAGTACATGCTCAATATCTAGCCCTTATGAAGGACTACATTTGAGTAAATTGTACTTTGACAGAATTGAACTGCTAAAGTAGAAGTAATGTAAAATAAATCAATGTAGTCCTTAATTTAAGGGCTAGGTCATATATAAAATGTCAAATGTGACCGTTTATTTTGTAATATCTTCCACTAGGGCTAATCCTTGTCGTCGCTGCCATTTTGGTCATCGTTGAGGTCCCTGCGTGGCAAGACAGTGCGATACAGAGACGTCCCTTTAGCCTGGATGAAGGTGAGGGTCATCTTGTCCTTGGTTACCTTCAATACAATACAACTTTATTGACCCCTCAGGGAACGGCAAATGTGCGTCTGAAATGGCACCCTATTCTCCATGTAGTGCACTATTGACCAGAGGCTCTATATAGAGAATAGGATGCCATGTGACACATCCAAAGTCCATCTACCACACAATCACAAACAGTATACAGAGAATAGACAATTCAATAAAACACCAACTCCATATAAATAGAATTCCTAGAAAGGACACAATTATATTTCTATGACTGACACCGACCTCTCCGTGGACAAAGCCTCCCAGGGTAGAAGCCTGGCCTGTGAAGAACTTGAGGGTGTCTTTGGGGACATGGTGCCAGTGACGCGTGTCTGGGTCCAGGAAGTTACCGGCACCGCTCACTACATAGCCCACACCAGACTCCTTCAGGTACTGAGGAGAGAAAAGGGAGAGGGGGATCAGTCAGGGTAATGTTCAGCAGAGAGCAAACATTTTAAAACAGTGACACTACCTGAACAGATTTTTTGTTTTGTTGTGAAACGTTTTTCTACAGTTTGCCCTTCCGAACACAACCCTGATGCAACTTAATATTATCCATCAATAAATCGTGAATGCTAAAGTGACATGCTAAAGTAAACAATCAATATCTTCCGTATGGCCTTCCTTTATCTAACAGCAACCCTCTGGTTGATAGAACAGTTGGTTGCACCAGCAATGGGACACTAGTAGTTTAGGAGACGACTATGCGAAATGTAGTTTCAAAGCATCAAAACCTCCACAAACCTGCAGGTTGTGGTCGTGACCACAGAAGTATGCAGTAGCCTTGTGTTTGACCAGAAGGGGACGTAGTCTCTTCAGGAGGCACTCTGTGGGGCCGTGCTCAGACACTGACCACACCGGGTAGTGACCAGCCACAAGCAGGAAGTCAGCCTTGGACTGGGCCATCCTCTGTTGCAGCCAGATCAACTGGTAGGTGGTTACAGTAAATGAAGACTTTCTTATTGATTAATTTCCACTTTATTACATTCTTGTTTTTTGAATTTCTGATGGAGAACTTGTCAGCAGTTGCAACAAATTAACCATAAGGACAAGAAATTAATAACAAAAGTGTAAAAGTACATCCAGTTGCAACAATGGTCAGGTAGACAGGGTCGGTGGTACAAAAAGTTTAATAGAATCTAAAATCTTAAAAAGGGAACTTTTTTCAAGTCCAAGCCAAAAACATTTTATTTAGCAACGCCAATAATAATCTGTGTACCTGTCGGTTGGCCTCTATGGAGCTGAGGGGACCGCGGGGCTTCTCATCATCGAAGTCATTAGAGTTACCACACAGCATCACTGTATCCAGCATCATGATGCTCAGAGTGCGCTTGGTGTTGGGGATACGGAAGTTCAGCTCGTAGTAGTAGTGAGGGAACCTCCTGAGGAGGGAGTGAGGATCAATGAATGAAGACTGATCAATGAAGGCTAAGATAGAAACAGCTCAGTGAAAAAGCCTGCATCCCAAATGGCACCCTATTGCATACATAGTGTACTACTTTTGGGACTCAGACTAGAATTCTGCAGTGAAAATACTGATTCTGCTGCATGTTACATCAAAATTCATGATGAACTGGGATAGGGAAAACTTTTACAGAAGGTTTTATACTATCAAAGACTTTCATAAGGTCTATGCAAAGATGGTGGATAAATGAAGATGTCCCACTCAGGCCGTTTACCATTGAAAGAAAGTGTCACAGTTCCGTTCTGCTTAAGGGGTGGATGTCCAATAGGCACCAATGCATTAGCAGCTGGGTCTTGTCTGTCTTAGTTCATGAACCAGAGAAAAGGAGCGAGTGAGATGTCGCACCTCTGTCTCTGTTATCAGTTTCTTACCATCGGTCAGACTTGCGGCTGTAGTCGATCTGAGCCTTGACGTTGCCCGCATGGTCATGGTTGCCAGCCAGGATGTACCAGGGAATGTTGAGAGAATCAGCCGTGTACACACGCTCAAAGGTATCCTGAGAGGGAAGAGGTCATTTTAGACAGATTGATAAACAAGTGCATTCCCATTCTGTTTGCAAACCTTACACATTTAAAATTCCTCAAGACTTAGACTCAGCAACTAAGCATTAGGATCAGAAAAACATTCACAGCAAAGAAAGTAAAGATATTTGATCATTATGCCATAACTGGAGTCCGGTTGGAGTTACTCTGCCTGACAACTGACCTGGAATCTTGGAGAATCTGCACTGTTCACCCCAGAGTAGTAGAAGTTATCACCCAGGGCCAGAACAAAGTCTGCACCCATCTGCTCCGCTACCTTGCCCATCTCCCAGGCCGTAGCCTTCTCCACCGGTGTAATGTAGGGAGGGTAGGGCACCCCGCCCCAGTCCCCCAGAGCCAGGAACCGGATGGACGTTTGGTTCTCTGGGGGAGAAACAAACACCATACATGTAGCATTTTAGCCATTTAGCAGACGCTTTTAACCAAAGAAATGTACAGTTCAAAAGTGTATGAGGCCCATGCAGGAATCAAACCCATAACATCCTCCAACAAACGTATAGAGTCAGAAAATGTAGTGTATGCACACAACTTACTATAACAGATTGATTTCTAGCCAAATAGGATGTGTCAGTGGAAGTATAACTGAAAAGCAGTGGAGGCGCTATAGGAGGACGGGCTCATTGTAATGTCTGGAATGGAATCAATGGAACAGAGTCAAACATGGGTTTTCCATGTTTGATACCGTTCCATTTATTCCATTCCAGCCATTACAATGAGACGGTCCTCATATAGCTCCTCCCACCAACCGCCACTGTTGAAAAGGTACATACTGCCGCTTCGCTCCAGGTCCTGGAAGGCAGTGGGGAAGCAATGGACCACAGGGAGGGCAGTCAGCAGGAGGGTGAACAGGGGAAGTGCCATCTGAAGGACCCAAAAAAATGATCACGATAACTTGCAAGTCCAATGTGAGGACTAAGAAGAACTGAAAATACCCTGATATGACACTACATATTGTGCTTGGTCAGGAAAAATGCTACAAACTACATATTGAAACTAAAACATGCAAACTCAGCACAAGCAATAACCTTACATTGCACCAACTAAGCAGGAAAACCACCACAAGTAACCAAGGCTCTCTCACCGTGTGTTGACAGACACAATCCTCTATCTTCCCCAGAGAAAGCACCACTTCTTATAGGTCCAAAATTGCTGCTTATTGATTGTTTAGTGAGTAGATCAATCCCAGCTGGGACTCACTGTTGCCAATCAGAGTTCTATTACCATTGTGGCAGGGAAGCGGTTTTGGCCAGATATTAATACAGCTTGTCAGAGTTGACCATTCGTAGCTGGTTAGGATAATTAGGTTAATGTTAGGGTTAGCTAAAACGCTAACAAATTCAACTTTTGATGTCAATTTGACATACGCTGTATTCTGTTGAACCATAACCCAAGGAAGGGTCATGACTCATGACCTCATCTCCCGCATGAATCTTGCAGAAGTAAAGTTTTAAACCTAACTTGCATCTAGCCAACATAAACCATTTAAAATAACCTACATCTCACTTACTGAATTGATTCTCCAAACCCCAGATACAGAACAGTCAACTTTACATGGAGTAAAAACAGAAAATGCAGATCTATTTTGCAACAAAAAAAAGCCAGACATTCCTTCCGAAAAAATCCTGAAAGTGCTGTTTCTCCAACAATGAAACCCTATAGGCTGATAAGAATGTAATGTAAATACACTCACTGTGATAAGTAATGATGCAATGGTGGTGAGTTGTCCGGAGTGTCCTACTGCAGCCGGGTCAACACTCATCTGTCTACTCAGTCTCCACTCCTCTTTTATCAGCTCCTGTCTGTCTGTCCTGATAGAGCCAAGGTAACCAACCCCCAGGGCCAGCCCCGCCCAAGCCCCACCCTGTCCCCAGCCACAACCACAACCCCAGTCCATGATCAAGCCCAGACTACGACCATGCCACTGGGGCATGACAGTTGCTCACACCCTTGACCCCGAGTCAGTCTTGGGACCAGAGAGGGAGTGCCGGCAGCATGTGACTGACATTGGTTATAAAAGCTAATGGTCAGACTCCACATTTTCCACCTCAGTGTTTCTCATTTTCCGTCTCTCACACTTCTGTTCCTTCTCTCCTCCCCCTTTGCTCTCTCTCTCTCCTTATCCTGTTGACCAGTATCTTGTAAGCTTGATGGATTGCTTTTGAGCAAGGGGTCCTCTTCCTTTTCATATGTTTGCAACAACAACAACAAAATAGTTTCCCATCACGTGTCTTACTTATCAGTGCTTATAAATCACAGCTAGTTTCACTTCACTGATGTTTACCACTGTACATTTACCTCCATGACCCCACCAGGCCCCACCTAGCCGCATTGTGTGACCTTGCCATATTCACTCTAATCTGTCAATGTATGGGCAGATTCTCAGAAACATGACCTGAGGTGTCCTGAGGTCAGGCGAGCTGCACATCAATGATCTAGTAGTACACGTGTCAAACCACAGATGATCCATTATATTGACCAGATAACAATGAAAATAATTGTCTTCAAAAATGGAAGAGTGGGGCCATTCTAGCGGATACGATTTATTAACATTTGTTTGGTGTTTGGGATTCTGTTTTTATATATATTGATGACTATTTTTCAGTGTTACTTTTAACACATCCAATCACAACACAGCTGTGAAACACGGAGGAGGGATTTATGAGGTCTCCATGTTTGCAGCAGACAAAAACAAAGTGATCGACTGATTCGTTTGATAAGATTCTTGATAGTGTTTTTTCACAAATTTGCCAGGATGTCACGTCCTACTTATATCAGTACACTCAGAACAACCTAATCATTACAAAACGTATATTCGATCAAGTAAGCCATTCAATTGTTTGTTAACCAAATTCGACACTCTTATTGACCTCCATACAAAAACTCCTAGCTTGGTGAGTGAAAAAACACCACCTGATGGAGAAGATTTTGGGCCCAGTTATCCCTCTCGTGTCACCTCTTCCTCTCTGGTCAAACTGGTCAAGCCTGAATGTCTGGGGGTTTTCATTTCTCCCTTAGACTTGATTGATTAATTAAGGTCACTAATTAGTAAGGAACGCCCCTCACCTGGTTGTCTAGGTCTTAATTGAAAGGAAAAACCAAAAACCAGCAGACACTAGACCCTCCATGGAATGAGCTGGACACCCCTGTAGTAAAACAGGACAGAGAAAATTTAAGGAGGTTAATCGGAATTGTGGAAGCCGTTAATAAAACAGTATTGCATGTATATGGGGTTTCTGAAGAATGATTAACAAGCAGACGTTCTCAATTAACTGATAGTTGTAAGTTGCAAATAAACTATTCTGGCTACAGTACATATAGTGGGGTATGGTAGGCCAGGCTCTAGAACCACAATGAGGAAGTGCATTCAGTGGCTATTGGCTGAGTAGAAACTAAAGCATAGCCTACCTTCAGAGAAAACATTTGGGCTGTAGGCTCCCTCACTAGCTCTTCAGAAGCGCCCCAAGCATTAGCCACGCGCATAAGCCATGATCTAAGCGTCGTAACGTTACTTGTGAGGAACATCCCTGGTATTTTAAAGTGATGCTCATGATGACCTAGGCATTTAAAATGCAACAACCGCCAGTCAGGTCAACTATAGGATTTAGCCTATATTCAATACAGAACTAAATGTAATAAATAACAAGTTGGCCTGCAGCATGAAAACATGTCAGGGGATTGGTCGCCATGTGGAGAAGCCGAAACACAGTAGACATGGGTTCAATAACTATTTGATATCTTTCAAATACTTTGAGCGTTTGCTTTGGGCTGCCTGGAGTTTGGGTTTGCACTTTTGGGAATGTTCTATTGTTTGCAATGCAACAGGCAAGCTCAATCAAGCACAGGTAAAAGTATTTGAAATGATTTCAAATAGTATTTAAACCCAGGTCTGAAAAACAGTGGTCAGTCTATGTAAAGTAAGACACTATGCTCCAAAATAAAAGTAATTTATTCTTACAAACAACCAGATACAAGCCTTTTACCCAAACCTTACAATGAAACAGCAATTAACACATTTCCATTGCCCTTTCACATAAAAATCCAAATGACTGTCAACTTTTTAATTTTTTTCTACCACACTGCGGGTTAATATAATAACAGTTAAAACATAAAAATGGGGATAAAAATTAAAATTACAAAATAAAATGTCAAGAAAACAAGTCTTTGAAACAGATATTTTAAAGAACAGATTCTCAGTTTACATTCATATTCAACCTCGGGTGGCTTGACGACAGAAAAACAGAAACCAAAAAAACTAACAAAACAAGAAGTCTATGACCCAAGATAGCATCATTCCGAAAGCGGTATTATTATTATTTCCTTTTTATCATCACTATACAGAACTGAACTACTTGTTAGACACATTTAGGTTACATTTACCACATGGTAAATAAAGAAATAGATACAGTCTGGTTTATGAAATAAAGTGATGGTGAAAATGACTGAGGGTTTAGGATGAATCAATATAATGAAAGTAGAGAAAGACATGGGGGTCTTCTTTTCCTCTTTGGGTGAAGGCTTGAGAGAGGGATGGGGTGTGTGTGTGGGGTACCTCCTACTTGTACTGATAGTTCATGTTTCCGTATCCCGTGGGGTAGGAGGTCTGCTGGGTCTGGGTAGTAGCAGCCGCCCCGTAGCCCTGGGAGGAGGCGTTCCCGTACATGCTGAAGCTTGATTGGTTGCCGTAGCCTAACGGACCAATGAAACGTCAATAAGAACAAGGCATTAAATAATCAACAAAACAGATGCTCTACTAACACTCTTTAAACCATTATTCAGACCACATTTGGATATCAAGTGACTAAAAACAGAACCAATATCAGAAAGAATACCAGATTATAAAAATCTATATATATTGGTATATCCAACATATACAGTGCATTCGGAAAGTATTCAGACCCCTCAACTTTTTCCACATTTTGTTACGTTACAGCCTTATTCTAAAATGGATATACACACACAATACCCCATAATGACAAAGCAAAAACAGGTTTTTAGACATTTTAGCACATTCATAAAAAATGAAACAGAAATACCTTCTTTACTTAAGTATTCAGACCCTTTGCTATGAGACCCGAAATTTAGCTCAGGTGCATCCTGTTTCCATTGATCATCCTTGAGATGTCTCTACAACTTGATTGGAGTCTACCTGTGGTAAATTCAATTGATTGGACATGATTTGGAAAAGGCACACACCTGCCTATATAAGGGCCCACAGTTGACAGTGCATGTCAATCAAAAAACAAGCCATGAGGTCAAAGGAATTGTCCATAGAGCTCTGAGACAGGATTGTGTCGAGGCACAGATCTGTGGAAGGGTACCAAAACATTTCTGCAGCATTGAAGTTCCCCAAGAACACAGTGGCCTCCATCATTCTTAAATGGAAGAAGTTTGGAAAGACCAAGACTCTTCCTAGAGCTGGCCCCCCAGCCAAACTGAGCAATATGGGGAGAAGGGCTTTGGTCAGGGAGGTGACCAAGAACCCGATGGTCACGCTGACCGAGCTCTAGAGTTCCTCTGTGAAGATGGGAGATCTCTACCAATCAGGCCTTTAAGGTAGAGGCAAAGGTGAACGGAGCAAAGTACAGAGAGATCCTTGAAGAAAACCTGCTCCAGAGCACTCAGGACCTCAGACTGGGGAACATGTTCACCTTCCAACAGGACAACAACCCTAAGCACACAGCCAAGACAACGCAGGAGTGGCTTCGGGACAAGTCTCTGAATGTCCTTGAGTGGCCCAGCCAGAGCCCGGACTTGAACCCGATCGATCATCTCTGGAGAGACCTGAAAATAGCTGTGCGGCGACACTCCCCATCCAACCTGACAGAGCTTGAGAGGATCTGCAGAGAAGAATGGGAGAAACTCCCCAAATACAGGTGTGCCAAGCTTGTAGCGTCATACCCAAGAGGACTCGAGGCTGTAATCGCTGCCAAAGGTGCTTCAACAAAGTACTGTAAATTATTTCATAAATTGCTAATTTATGAAAATAAATTAGCAAACATTTCTAAAATCCTGTTTTTTGATTTGTCATTAAGGGATAGTGTGTAGACTGATGAGGGAAAAAAAAACTATTTAATCAATTTTAGAATAAGGCTGTAACCTACCAAAATGTGGAAAAAGACAAGGGCATTGAATACTTCTTCAGAAAGTATTCCCACTCCTTGACTTTTTCCACATTTTGTTGTGTCACTGGCCTATACACAATACCCCATAATGTCAAAGTGGAATTATGTTTTTAGAAATAAAAAATGAAAAGCTGAAATGTCTTGAGCTAATAAGTATTCAACCCCTTTGTTATGGCAAGGCTAAATACTTTCATGAGTAAAGATTTGCTTAACAAGTCACATAAATAAGTTGCATGGACTCACTTGGTGTGCAATAATGGTGTTTAACATGATTTGTGAATGACTACCTCATCCCTGTACCCCACACATATTATTATCTGTAAGGTCCGTGAATTTCAAACACAGATTCAACCACAAAGACCAGGGAGGTTTTACAATGCCTCGCAAAGAATGGCACTTATTGGCACACATTGAATATCCCTTTGAGCATGGTGAAGTTAATAATTACACATTGGGTGGTGTATCAATACATCCAGTCACTACAAAGATACAGGCGTCCTTCCTAACTCAGTTGCCGGAGAGGAAGGAAACCGCTCAGGGATTTCACCACGAGGCCAATGGTGACTTTAAAACAGTTAGGCCTACAGAGTTTAATGGCTGTGATAGGAGAAAACTGAGGATGGATCAACATTGTAGTTACTACACAATACTAACCTAAATGACCGAGTGAAAAGAAGAAAGCCTGTACAGAATAAAAATATTCCAAAACATGTATCCTGTTTGCAATAAAGTTAACTTCAAACAATGTGGCAAAGAAACAAACTTTATGTCCTGAATACAAAGCGTTATGTTTGGGGCAAATCCAACAATATATCACTGAGTACCACTATTCATATTTTCAACCATGGTGGTGTCTGTATCATGTCATGAGTATGCTTGTCATCGGCAAGGACTAGGGAGTTTTTTTTTAGGATAAAAATAAACGAAATAGAGCTAAGTACAGGCAAAATCCTAGAGGAAAAACTGGTTCAGTCTGCTTTCCAACAGACACTTGGAGACAGTCACCTTTCAGCAGGTCAATAACCTAAAACACAAGGCCAAATATAAACTGGAGTTACTTACCAAGACATTGAATGTTCTGGAGTTGCCTAGTTACAGCTTTTGACTTAAATTGGCTTGAAAATCTATGGCAAGTCTTGAAAATGCCTGTCTAGCCATGATCAGCCAACTTGACAGAGCTTGAAGAATAAAAAAAAAAAGAATGTGCAAATATTGTACAATCCAGGTGTGCAAAGCTCTTAGACTTACCCAGAAAGACTCACAGATGTAATTGCTGCCAAAAGGTGATTCTAACTAAAACATTTATACAATCATGTTTTCACTTTGTCATTTTGGGGTAGTGTGTGTGTGTATATGGGTGAGAAACCATTTTGAATTCAGACTGTAACAACTCTGATGAAAGTCGACTGACCGAAAGCTCAGCTATAATTAAAATAAATTTGCATCTGACTGGAAGTGTGTGGATACTTTTTCCTGTTTCTCCAGTTTAGCATTTGGGCTCCAGCACCTTCACCAATCAGCTTTGGGTGTGCGGTAGATTCAGCCTATTAACACAACAAAATGTGGAGTAAGTCAAGGGGTATGAATACTATTTGAAGGCACTGTTACATCGGGCAGTTACCTGTGTATGAGTGTGTGTGGCGGTGGGGACCTCCTTTGGCCCCTTATATAGATTTCCACTCACCGAATCCCCACTCACCGTAACTGTACATTTGGCCCCCGGTGACAGAGCTGGGGTAGGCTGTACTGTACATGGAGTAGTCCACCTGTTGTTGCTGGGCCTGGGCTGCAGTCAGCAGACTCTTCTTATCCTCTCCGTAGCCATAACTATAGGGGCTCTGCTGGTCCAGGGGAGGGGGCACTGATTGGTAGGCACCCAGGGAAGATGCACCGACCTGGGCTTGAGCGGTCATGGCAGCCGCGGTGGTGGAGGCGGTTATGGCCGGTGTGGTGTAGGATGATTCGGGGTAGAAGGTGCCGTAGCCCGTGGTGGAGGCGTCACCAGTGGAGGTGGTTGTAGAGGAAGCAGCCTCGGTTGCACCGACACTATACAGATTGTCTGAGGGAGAGATGGACAAAGAAGTTACGATAGTGTGAATGGTGAAAGGAGGACATTGGTATTGGTTGGAGGAACACTTAGCGAACGCTTTGAAGGGGATATCTTTTTGAGAAAAACAGAACTGTATAGTGATGGTCTCTGTATCTCAGCCAAACAACTTCAACTAGGAATTACAAATACTGTATATTTTCCTTTTAATTCGTCTTATTATACATTATTATGACAAATGCTCAACATTGTATAAGAACTTCAGTCTCTCCACATGAGATGTTTTTCTCATGTTAGACACATGGACTAGACATCTGGCGTAAAGGGGACTGAGTTGCAGCCCAGCCCCATAGGTCAGCCCCAGCCTTCAAGTCAACATGATGGAGAGAGATGCTAGGGTTTAAATAAGAGAAGCAATGTGGAGCGGCAGGTAGCTTAGTGGTTAAGAGCGTTGTGCCAGTAACCGAAAGGTCGCTGGTTCTAATCCCCGAGCCAACTAGGTGAAAAATCTGTCGATGTGCCCTTGAGCAAGGCACTTAACCCTAATTGCTCCTGTAAGTCGCTCTGGATAAGAGCGTCTGCTAAATAATGTAAATGTAAAATGTAAGTGTTAAGACCCCACCTAGAGGCCAAGGAGGACAGAAAGCAAAGCTAGCAGTCGGCAGGGCCCCCTTAGCCCATTCCTGCCTTCTTTGAAGTAGGCCTAATCACTAATTCAATCATTATACATGATTATACAGGTGAATGCAAGGGGAGCACATGGCTATCTAATTCATGGCTTTCTAGCAAAAAATGTTTTGGGTCATTTAGCAGATGCTCTTATCCAGAGCGACTTACAGTTTTAGTGAGTGCATACATTTTTCATACTGGCCCCCCGTGGGAAGCCACTTGAAGGAAGGAAGTACTATGTACATTTTAAGGAATTCAAATGGGTCCCAGTAACTCAATAGACTATAGTGGCTGTAGAATAGATCAGGCTAACGAGATAAGAAAAGTTACCAAACACAAATGAACACACCTAATCTATCACTCATTAGTTCCCTTGACAACAGTGGAGGGAGAAGCAAGACACTTACGATAACCAGAGCCAGCACTGCTTCCATAACGGTAGTTTGCTGTTCAAAAGAAAAGAGATAGAAATGTATTAACTTACTGCAATGGAGCCCAAAAGAGTTGGATGATTTCCTAAACAGTCGGACTATTGGCTTATTGTCCAGTCGTTAATTTATTTACTAAATAAACTAAAATAAGCCATATTTTAATGATTTTCTGATAATCTCATCTCTGTGAGAACATGCTCTTAAAGGCCTGTGATAGACAGTCCAGTCTAGATCCTGTGATAGACAGTCCAGTCTAGATCCTGTGATAGACAGTCCAGTCTAGATCCTGTGATAGACAGTCCAGTCTAGATCCTGTGATAGACAGTCCAGTCTAGATCCTGTGATAGACAGTCCAGTCTAGATCCTGTGATAGACAGTCCAGTCTAGATCCTGTGATAGACAGTCCAGTCTAGATCCTGTGATAGACAGTCCAGTCTAGATCCTGTGATAGACAGTCCAAGTAAAGTGTCCTACTTTGGTTGTAGCTGCTGCCAGTCGTAGGCTTTCCTCGACCCCTGCCTCGCCCGCGGCCCCGGTTGTTAGGCTCAGTGTCGGTTGGAATGCCTCGAATAGTGCCAAAGCCTGGGATATGCTGTTGAGAGGGAGGGTAAGAGGTCACTAAAGGGGTTCCTAGTCATGGTTTGTGTGTGGATTAATTCATGGCTATTCCTAGTCATGATTTCTACAGTATTGTGAGGTGCATTACAGTGTGTGTATGAAAGATATGTCATGTCTTACCATGGAAGTGTATGTGACTGGTTTCTTCTTCTTGGGGTCAGAGTGAGGGTTATAGTAGGGCCCCGCCCCCTCGGGGAAGAGTTTGTCCAAAGCAGCTAAGGCGGCATAGGCTTTGGCCTCCTTCTTGTTGGAGCCTCGACCTTTGAACTTCTGTCCATCTACCTCCACCTGTGAGTGGCGGAAAAGTGTCAGTCACAGATGCACTTAGTAATATGGGCTAATATGCAGTAACGAAGAGACACATGCTTGTTACTGTTTCCACATCCTGCTCTGTCAACTACATCTGGGCCCATATTCATAAAGCGTCAGAGTGGTAGTGCTGATCTAGGATCAGTTTAGCCTTTTAGATAGTAATGAACAGGGGGGACGTGATCCTAGATCAGTACTTCTACTCGGAGATGCTTTGTTGACACAAGCCCTGACCTTACTGGTTATTCATCTACTCTAGTTTCCAAATCCTTGCGCAATGACTCAATAGAATTGTCCCAAAAGTGCAAACCCCACCCATCTGCCACTGACTGACCTCCATGACGAAGCACTTGTCATGGCTGCCCCCAGTCTCAGCAGAGAGCTCGTACTTCAGGCTGCGTCTCTTCTCATTCAGCTCCATCACTGGGTTCTTCCCGTGCTTGGTGAGGATGGGACCGTTCTGAGAGCAGGAAGACATAGCAGAACAGTCAAGTCCAATGAAAATCATCATCAACAACAACTCTAATGCAACGTAACTGCTTTATGAAAGTATACTGTGATATTCTGGCATTTAAGCTCTTGTTCTACTTACCCAGAGTCAGATAAACTCACGGATACCGTTTTTATGTTTCTGCATGCAGTAGGAAGGAAGCGGTAGTTTCACAAGCTAATGCTAACTAGCTTTAGTGCAATGAATGGAAGTCTACAGGTAAAGTAGCAATGCTTTGTGCTGCTTTATGAAAGTATATTAAGTAAACAATTTTAAAAAGTCACAGGGAAAAGCCAGAGAACATAGGAGATATGAAGAGAGAATGACTACCTCGTCAGATGCCATGGACGCATCACTTGCTGTAGGTGTGGCTGATACGTTGGCTCCTCCCTCTTCGCTTGGTTCCACCTTCACATCCAGTCCAGTGGGTAGGCCCAACTTCTGCAGGACCTGAGACGGACGGGGAGAGCGAGGACTTGGTGGATGGCAGCCATTATAGACAGAGTCAATACAGACGACAAGGCATTCAATGCAAAACCAGTGGATTACATTCTTGGAGAACAATGCCATAACACCTTGATGACAGCAAGCGAAAGTTACAGAGAGAGGAGAAACACTACTTCTTCTTTCAAAGAGAGTAACATTTGATTTCAGGGACCAACTTGTGTTGTACCAGCTACCCATCATCTTAAAGGGATAGTGCGAGATGTGTCTAGTTACCCAGAGTTGTGGATACCATTTTTATGTCTCTACGTGCAGTATGAAGGAACTTACAGGTAGTTTTACACGCCAATGCTAACTAGCGTTAGCGCAATGACTGGAAGTCTACCGGTACAGCTAGCATATTTTCGCCTAGCTACACAAACCCTTACCTTGGCAGCTAGGTGGAGCTTGGCGGTGCGTTTGGACGGCCCCGAGGCCTCGTATGTCTCGCCGTCAACGTCTACGGACATGGTGAACACCGGGAAGTGCACCGGACCGCTCTGACCTGTCAGCCGGTACTGCAGACCAGGCTTGTGCTGGTTGAGACGCATCAGGGCGTTCATGGCCATAGGAGAGTCACCGGGCTTCTCTTCTGTGGCTGGGGGAAGGGAAGAGCGAGAGAGAAAGAGGGAGAGCGACAGAGAAAGAGAGAGATAGTGAGAAAGAGACAGATGGGGGAGAGAGAAAGAGGGAGAGAGCTTATCAGAACAGGAACACATTTAGCCTCCTCAGAAAGAGCCTCAATGGTAGAATAGCTACGAAATATCCCATTTGAAGACCTCTTCGGATCGGTTACATACACGACTTCCTAGGAAATTTCTGATATTTCTGGAACTTCTGAAACTTCCTCTTCTTGCTGTCATCTCCCCCTTTGTCCGCAGCATCGTGAGGTCTCTTGGGAGGGTAGGTGGAACTAGCCAGGATCTGAGCTGGTAGGGACATGGAAAAAGGGACAAGGTTCAGGAAAAGCTCAATACGCGACACATCAAGACTACTACTAGACAGCTAACATGAAAGTCACATTTGAGAAGCATGGGACAGGCCAGGAAGATCGCCAAAAACAGAGGAGATACTAACAACCGTAGTTTCTGAGGCCTGGCCCAATGGTCCTTCTTGGTGCCCTGGCAGGCAGGGAATCCATCCCCAGCACCTTGTACAGCTGTCCGAACGCAGACAACCTCAGGGCATGCTGACAGGGGAAAATAAACATAGAACACAGTCAATCACAAAGGGAAGCACATAGGAGAGAATAACACAATTTATATTTGATATTCTACCTCGGGCGTGTTAAGGACGCAACATTACAGAACTTTCAGCTACAAAAATGTTTTGTGTAGAACAGATATGATCGTTTTTCAAGTAGAATAGGGAATCATGTCAGCTCCATTTGTTACAATTCTACCTGAAATGTTATAGCCATAAATATACCTGGGCACTCTGTGTAATGTCCTCACGTTGCTGAGTGTCCAGGTGGCCGATGGCATCCACCTTCTCCTTCTCACACGGGTCCTTGATACCCGGACCATCTTTGAACAACAGAAGAACATTTGAATTGGTTTCATTTGGTGGATGTCATTTCTACATTGTTCTGAGAGGTGTTCCGCAAGGCTATGCTCTAGGCCCTATATTTTCTCTATTTACCCGATACAAATAGTCACATGCGCCGAATACATGTGTAAACCTTACCGTGAAATGCTTACTTACAAGCCCTTAACCAACAATGCAGTTCAAGAAATAGAGTTAAGAAAAAATTTACTAAAGTAAAAAATCAAATAAAAAGTAACAATAAAATAACAATAACGAGGCTATATACAGGGGGTACCAGTACCGAGTCAATGTGCGGGGGTACAGGTTAGTGTTTGTATATGTAGGTAGGGGTAAAGTGACTATGCATAGATAATAAACAGTGAGTATCAGCAGTGTAAAAACAAAGGGTGTGGGGGGGGGGGGGGGGGGGGGAATCAATGTAAATAGTCCGGGTGGCCATTTAATTAATGGTTCAGCAGTCTTATGGCTTGGGGGTAGAAGCTGTTAAGGAGCCTTTTGGAACTAGACTTGGCGCTAAGGTACCGCTTGACATGCGGTAGCAGAGATAACAGTCTATGACTTGGGTGACTGGAGTCTTGGAAAATTTTTTGGGCCTTCCTAATATATAGGTCCAGGATGGCTGGAAACTTGGCCCCAGTGATGTACTGGGCCGTACGCACTACCCTCTGTAGTGCCTTATGGTCGGATGCCGAGCAGTTGCCATCCCAGGCGGTGATGCAACCGGTCAGGACGCTCTCGATGGTGCAGCTGTATAACTGAGGTTCTGGGCACCCATGCCAAATCTTTTCAGTCTCCTGAGGGGGAAAAGGTGTTGTCGTGCCCTCTTCACAACTGTCGGTGTGTTTGGACCATGATAGTTTGTTGGTGATGTGGACACCATGGAACTTGAAACTCTCGACCCGCTCCACTACAGCCCCATCGATGTGAATGGGGGCGTGTTAGGCCCTTCTTTTCCTGTAGTCCACGATCAGCTCCTTTGTCTTGCTCACGTTGAGGGAGAGGTTGTTATCCTGGCACCACACTGCCAGGTCTCTGACCTCCTCCCTATAGGCTGTCTCATCACCCTTACCGATCACTGCACCTGTACACAGCCCATCTGAAATTAGCCCACCCAACTACCTCATCCCTATATTGTTATTTATTTTGCTCTTTTGCACCCCAGTATGTCTATTTGCACATAATCTCTTGCACATCTAGCATTCCAGTGTTAATACTAATTGTAATTATTTTCCACTAAAGCCTATTTATTGCCTTACCTCCATAACTTGCTACATTTGCACACATGTATATATATTTTCTGTTGTATTTTTGACTTTGTTTTTTTACCCCATATGTAACTCTGTGTTGTTGTTTTTAATCGCACTGCTTTGCTTTATCTTGGCCAGGTCGCAGTTGTAAATGAGAACTTGTTCTCAACTGGCTTACCTGGTTAAATAAAGGTTAAATAAAAAAATAAAAATAAATTGTTGTCAGTGATCAGGCCTACCACTGTTGTATCGTCTGCAAACTTAAAAATGGTGGTGTTGGAGTCGTGCTTGGCCACGCAGTCGTGGGTGAACAGGGAGTACAGGAGGTGACTAAGCACACACCCCTGAGGGCCCCGGTGTTGAGGATCAGCGTGGCAGATGTGTTGTTGCCTACCCTTACCACCTGGGGGCAGCCCGTCAGGAAGTCCAGGATCCAGTTGCAGAGGGAGGTGTTTAGTCAAAGGGTCCTTAGCTTAGTGATGAGCTTTGTGGGTACTATGATGTTGAACGCTGAGCTGTAGTCAATGAACAGCATTCTCACATAGGTGTTCCTTTTGTCCAGGTGGGAAAAGGAAGTGTGGCGTGCAATTGAGATTGCATCATCTGTGGATCTGTTGGGGCGGTATGCGAATTGGAGTGGGTCTAGGGTTTCCAAGATGATGGTGTTGATGTGAGCCATGACCAGCCTTTCAAAGCACTTCATGGTTACCGACGTGAATGCTACGGGGCGGTAGTCATTTAGGCAGGTAACCTTCACTTTCTTGGGCACAGGGACTATGGTGGTCTGCTTGAAACATAGGTATTACAGAGGAGAGGTTGAAAATGTCTCAGTGAAGACACTTGCCAGTTGGTCCGCGCATGCTCAGAGTACACGTCCTGGTAATCCGTCTGGCACCGCGGCCTTGTGAATGTTGACCTGTTTAAAGGTCTTGCTCACATCGCCTACGGAGAGCGTGATCACACAGTCGTCCGGAACAGCTGGTGCTGTCATGCATGCGTCAGTGTTGCTTGCCTCGAAGCGAGTAGAAAAGGCATTTTAGGCCTGGTCACTGGGCAGCTCGCGGCTGGGTTTCTCTTTGTAGTCCGTAATAGTTTGCAAGCCCTGCCACATCCGACGAGCGTCAGAGCCGGTGTAGTAGGATTCAATCTTAGTCCTGTATTGATGCTTGCCTGTTTGATGGCATAGCGGGATTTCTTATAAGCGTCCAGATTAGTGTCCCGCTCCTTGAAAGCGGCAGCTCTAGCCTTTAGCTCGATGCGGATGTTGCCTGTAATCCATGGCTTCTAGTTGGGATATGTACGTACGGTAACTGTGGGGACGACGTCATCGATGCACTTATTGATGAAGCCGGTGACTGAGGTGGTATACTCCTGAACATATTACAGTCTGTGCTAGCAAAACAGTCCTGTAGCATAGCATCCGAGTCATCTGACCACTTGTAAGCAGGAATAAGGATAGAATTATAGTCAGATTTGCCAAATGGAGGGCGAGAGAGAGCTTTGTACGTGTCTGTGTGTGGAGTAAAGGTGGTCTAGAGTTTTTTTTTCCCTCAGGTTGCACATCCTGGTAGAAATGAGGTACAACGGATTTAAGTTTGCCTGCATTAAAGTCCCCCGCCACCAGGAGCGCCGCTTCTGGATTAGCATTTTCTTGTTTGCTTATGGCCTTATACAGCTCGTTGAGTGCGGTTTTTGAGCCAGCATCAGTTTGTGATGGTAAATAGATGGCTACAAAAAATATAGATAAACTCTCTTGGTAGATAGTGTGGTCTGCAGCTTATCATGAGGTACTCTACCTCAGGCGAGCAATACCTCGAGACATCTTTAATATTAGACATTGCGCACCAGCTGTTATTGACAAATAGACACACACTCCCACCCCTCGTCTTACCAGACGTAGCTGTTCTGTCCAGCCGATGCATGGAAAACCCAGCCAACTGTATATTATCTGTGTCGTCGTTCAGCCACGACTCGGTGAAACATAAGACATTACAGTTTTTAATGTCCCGTTGGTAGGATAGTCTCAAACGGAGATCACCAAGTTCATTCTCCAGTGATTGGATGTTGGCCAATAGAACGGATGGTAGAGGCGGGTTACCCACTCGCCGACGAATTCTCACAAGGCACCCTGATCTCCACCCCCTGTATTTCCTTATTTTCTTCACACGAATTACGGGGATTTGGGCCTGGTCTCAGAGATGCAGTACATCCTTCGCGACGGACTCATTCAAGAAAAAATCTTAGTCTAGTTCGAGGTGAGTAATCGCTGTTCTGATATCCAGAAGCTCTTAGGGATAGAATACTTACCGGCCATCAGGATTCCAGACGCCAAGCACTCTAGAACTCTGCGGAAAGACTCTCCTGCTCCCATTGGCCGATCGCATGTTCCGATGGCCTTCTCACACAGCAGCTCTAGTGGCTGGACAGAACAGAGAGAGAACAGTAGATAATGAATCCCATTCAGACCTGGATGCCACCGCTGCCACCAAATGTAATAATATCCATTTACTTATATGTAATTATTTATTGTATGACATGTATATTATTATATTCAATATTAAATGTATTATATTTGTTTTTTTTTACTCACCCATCCTCTGAGTGGAGCCCAGGTTGGGACGCGGTTACACAGGTCTCTCATGATACGGATCACGATGGCGGCCGACTTCAGGTCGTTGACCTTAGCCTGAGAGAGACAAGCACGGACCGAGCTCAGTCAAAGAGGGTGCGATATCCAACAACTACCTACTTACCTACCTAGAGCAATGCCAAATAAAATAAATAAAAGGGGTGCAATATTCCCGTAGCCTCGCGAGCCGCATTATCCCGCGAGCTTACATGAATGTGCGATGCAGGCGGCTCATGAGGCTAATATTCCTGGACAGCACAAAGGAAAAAAGTGTGACACCAATTGAATTGACACAATTGTGTCAGTATTGAGTCATCAGGAATATTGCACCCAGAGGTAGCATAGAAAGGTTAGTGAGTATCCCTCCAATATACCATTGGAACCAAATACTTCATTAGGAGGGAAAGGGGATACCTAATCAGTTGCACAACTGAATGCATTCAACCGAAATGTGCATTTAACCCAACCCCTCTGAATGAGCGATGGTTACATAGTGTGTAGCGACCCTTTAAAACATAATGTAGCTACAATATCAGTTGTACTAGCAAATAACAGCAATATAGTTCCAAGGAAGACAGAATGAAAGCATAGAAAACAAGGAGGCATTGGGAGATCATACAAACTCACAACTCATTATGGGACAAGTAAAGGCAGAATAAAAGCTCATCTGAACACTTTATTTGACAAGTAAAGACAGGATGCAAACCTGGAACCACTTGGCGTGGCGGAGAGACGCCAAGGCAGTTAGGCATTTCTGCCTGTCCAGAACGTCCGCCGGCGCATCGCTGTCGACCGTTAGCTTTTCTATTGGTCGATGGGTGGGATAAGAAGACAAGGTACGGTTTGACCAAGGGAGGGGTTCTGTCTCGAGGCTCGGGGAGGAGGCAGCTTTTCCCAAGGCAGGACAAGGGGAAGGGGACTCCCCCGTATTTATAGAGAATGGTATCACCCACCCACCCTGTAGCACAAAACCCTATGCTAGGTCTAAGTAATGAGTGTCCTATAGCCATCAGATTCACAGTGAGTACCAGAGCCTAATATTTCTCAATATAAGGTTTTGCTGGGGGGCTTTCTTAGTCTTAATCTGGCCAGTATGTTATGTTATTCTAGAATCAATCATAGTCTTACTACCCCTTCCCCCCTCCCCAGTGGTTTGGTTCATACTGCTCTGCCCCTTTCCGAGACAGAATGAGAGGCCAGTTGGTCAAAGGTCCAGCGTCCCTAAAAACTGACACACTACAAGGCTTAGTAAGAGAGAATCAATCAGGTTTGGAATTACTGGCAGTTGGAATCAGAATGCATCTGTGGTGGGCTTGGTACTGCAGCAAAACTGATGACGGCTTGGCTTCCCCCAGCAACCAAATCTGGCCTTGAGCCAAGACAAGGGTTTAGGTTAGGCCATTCTCTTGGAGGACGTAGCTACTAAAGCTGATTGAACTCAAATGCCCTTTTCCTGACTTTGAATTAGATCACATTCATCTCTTTTGCCTCTCTCACACATACACCCCCATGCATTACTCACACACAAACACATATTGCTCTCTCACACACACACTTTCCCTTCCATCTCCCTTGCTTGTGACTGGTTGTGTTCCCATTCAACCAGGCAGGTCAAAGGGTCCAAAAACATTACCTGTCATGCCGATCAGTTTTGCTGCAATACGAACCTCACGTTACACTGTTCTGCATTAAAAACACATGCAATCAAATCTATATGCGCGCATTGGCTGCCATTCTCAGAAAAGCCTTCATTTCTTTACTTGAACAATACAATTAACTGTAAATGAAGTCGTACATTACTGTTATTAAATTCACTAAAAACATTATTACAGTATTATTAACGACTAAAATAGGCATTGTAGCGATTAAGATTTTCGCCGTTTTGTTACACAATTACAGCGAATAGAAGATCTCCGAGCTCCAGTGAAGAACCAATCAGATTGTTTGTTCACTGGCATCAGTTCTAAAGCAGCAACTGTGCAGGTTCCACTCATCTCTAGATTGACTGATCAGGTCTTTAAATGATGTATTAGTGTACGGATCAGTAGGGAGCTGCACAGTAACACACAGATCATCAGCTGTTGCTGTAGCTGATCTGAAGTTGCCTGCTGTGAAGTGCCAGGGCCGCCTACATTCAGCAAAGCACAATGTTGTGGAACATTGCAGATAGAAGTATCACACATAGATCTGTGCATCAATAGATACTATCACAAATAGATCTCTACATCATATTTCTATCTGAGACGTCCCACAAAGCTGTGCCCTGAACACAGCCGTGGTAGTGTTGGGTAGTGGGTTGTCCCAGCCTCCTGGCCTGGTTGGAGGCTGGTCCCTGGGGGGTCATACCTCCAGGTGGTCCCTCCAGGGGGGTGGTATCTCCGGCACCCTCTGGCTCGGCCTCCAGGCGGATCATGGGGGAGGTCAGGTGAATGGTGAGGGTGAGGATGGGCTCCTTGATGCTCTTGATCACGATCTCCGCCTCCTCTGGGATCTGGGTGACCTCATACTTGTCCTCTGTGACGAGCTTTAGTAGAGTTGGAATGATGGGAGAAAAAAATCTGTTAGGATTTTGGCTTACAGAAGGGTTGACTTACAGTACAGAAGGAGAGACAATATTAGCATAGAGGCGGCACCTTACACAACCAAAAAGCCCTTTTTAAATGAGGATACTTATCATATAGGTCCTATTTCAACTCTCTCTGTCACTCTCATACTCTCACTTTAACATGACCAAAGAGAGACAATGTTAACATCATCGAAGGGTATCGGTCTCCCTTGGGAAAGAGGTAATCTGAGCTCAATGGAACTTCCTTGTTAAGTAAAGGTTAAATTAAATAGATAAACTACCTCAATCTGGGTGGAGAGGTTCTCAGCCACCTTCTTGAGCAGGGTGACGGTTGGTTTCTCAGTGCAGAGCAGCACCAGCTCCAGGTCCATGTCTCCCTTCAGCAGTAGGCCCTTGGCCACCAGGCCCACCCTCATCACCCCACGCAGGATACGCTCTGGAGGGGGAGACACCTCACTGGGACAGGGGAGGGAGAACCAAGGAAATGCTTATTCAGAGACAAATGCAATAAGGAAAACTACAAGATATGAAGAACCATACACATCCAGGATTAGATGTACTGTTTCCGTCACTTCTTTCACACACTCTCTAAAAATGCATTTTCCCTTCCTATACTGAAGTATTCCTTACATTTTAGTCTTTTAGCAGACGCTCTTATCCAGAACGATTTACAGGAGCAATTAGGGTTAAGTGCCTTGCTCAAGGGCACACTGTCAGATTTTTCACCTAGTCGGCATGGGGATTCGAACCCGCGACCTTTCGGTTAGTGACCATACGCTCTTAACCACTAAGCTACCTGCCGCCTAAGATTCACAGATCTTAATTGCTTGGATTAGTGAAAGTAATAGGGTGTTAATCCTGCTCTCAGCTATCCAATCACGTATCAATCTGTGCTTAACTCAAGGAAATGAGGAAGGAAGCGTTTCCAAACAGTACCAGGGTATTTGATTAATCTTTCTTACCTCTCCTCCGCCCCCTCCACAGGTACTGGCGCCACCCCGACTCCGGCCTCCACATCCAGCAGGTCGGAGACAGTCTTGAGGGCGCACTCCACGTGGGAGATGACTGTCTGCACTGCCTCCAGCTCCTCAGACGACGGGTACACCGCCGCGTGCTTCGCCATCATGTGGCGGTCGTCGCTCACGAAGATACGCATGGGAGGCGTGCGCACCGGAGGGGCCTGGAAGAGAGACGGTAAGATGGAAAAGGGTAAGTGAGATGTGGGTCGTGTTCAGTTGGGCACACTGTAGGAAAACGATTTGTAAGGGAAAACTGAAATCTATGTTCTTATTGTAATAAATCAACCGTACGTCTCGCCTGTTTGAATGCCAGGCCATCTTTAGACAGCTGTTCGTTCCACAACACAAAATTCTAAAACTGCCTAGTTTTGTCTCCTCTAGTCTGTCCTTATACTGGCTGTTAGATGTTTTTACTTTAATGCTTTTGGGTAAAGTTTGTCAACTTGAAAATAAAGTTTAAAAAAAAAATATATATATATTTTCATCACGGTCTTCATCCACAATCGTTGGTTACACGATTATACAATCACTGTGCCAGCCCTAAGCACCGCTTTAATTTGTTCCAATGGAATAGGATGTGTGTGAATGATCTGGAAAACCAGTATGACAAATAGGCTGAGGGGAAAAATGTGACTGGAAAAATGTAGTTACTGTATCATCTACAACTTCCGCATTTACATGCCTCTTAGCAAGAGGGGAAATAAAATATTTTATTAATGACCATCATGTTGGAAACAAATCATAGGACCATCTGTCCAACATATCAAGGTAGGTGCAATCGGCTTCTCATGTTGGCCTATAAACGGTATGTACAGCAGAGGAGGCTGGTGAGGGGAGGACGGCTCATAGTAATGGCTAGAACAGAGTTAATGGAATGTTATAAACACGTCAAACACAGTTTCCAAGTGCTTGATACCATTCCGTTCACTCCATTCCAGCCATTATAATGAGGTTGTTCTTCAAGTAGAATTCAACACAACACCCAGAGCTAATTCTGATTCTCCAATCCTTGTGTTCATTCGGAGGTTACAAGCATTAGCCAGCGCTACATTCACACACAGGGAATTTGTATTGACATGAAGAGAAACAGTTGAGGTGGAAGTTGGAACCTCAGTTTGGGGCCGGTTCTCCTCGATCTCCTGTATGGCGGCGATGTACTCATCGTACTGCCTCAGCTCCTCCTCGTAACAGAGACAGTCATACCAGTAGCGCAGCTCCTCATATCTGGGAGGGGAGAGACACAAAGTAGTTAGAATATAAATCAATTACAGTACTAAGTTTACCTCCGTAGATTCAACATCAACCAATTTTTTAAAGAGATAAGCACAACCTTTGGAGAGAATTGAAATGCCTTGTGTGTAGAAATACTACATTGTAATTTTCATAATGTAACATTATTATAACCAGTCAATGTGTGGAGTCAAAGTAAAGGCAGGGATGAGGATGCATTTCCCCCCACTCCACCCCAAAACTCTTAGTCCATTGTTGATATAGTCCCAAAATGTTTTGCATGTCAGATATCAAGTTTTCCAGACATATAACTTTCAAAATACAGAAATACAGCCGGTATGACGCATTTTGCACCATATGATGCAAAACGCAGCATCATATGATGCAAATGCATCATACCGGCTGTTTTCTGTATTTTACATTTACATTTTAGTCATTTAGCAGACGCTCTTATCCAAAGCGACTTACAGTTAGTGAGTGCATACATTTTCATACTAAGTGAGTGCATACATTTTCATACTTTTGAAAGTTATGTCTGGAAAACTTGATATCTGACATGCAAAACATTTTGGGACTATATCAACAATGGACTAATGAAACAAACACCAAAAAATAGTTTTAGGTAGAGTTTTCCTTTAAGGTTAGGATTGGGGATGCGAATCTTAGATCTGTTCCTAGTTGAAACTTCACCCTGGAGCGATACAGTACCTGTCAAAGTCGTGTGGTAGCAGGCGATGGCCTCGCTGTATCAGGCTGTCCCAGTACAGGAGCTCTTCATAGGCCTGGCGTTCGTCCCAGACTGCATCCGGCACTGGCTCTGCTGCCATAGCCATGACCCTGTCTTTACTGCCACCTGTGTGACACCTGCTGTAGCCATGGAAACAGAAACACTGAAAATCACTCTCTTTACAATGCACCACCTCATGATAAACACATTGTAAAGAAAACTTTATACGGTTTATATATGAATATTTTGTGAAACTCAAGTTAGTATGACGTAAGGCAGGCTTTTACATCACGTGACATCTCTGCGGTAACTGTAAAATGTAACTACCTAGCTAACTAACTTTCGTAAACATACCATGCAGTTGCACAACGACGTGCAGGTAAACTATGCTAATTAACTGTTTACCACTAAATGTGTTGTTTACCACCAAATGTTTAAGCAGCTGTCCATACCGCTTTTGGTAATTTGGTTTTAAAACAAAATCAAACACGCTGCAAACCAATAATTATTGGGCTAACAGAATTTGTTTTCAACCTGCAGTGCCGTCGCCATTTTTAGAATATGCTAGATAGCTAGCTAACTAGCATGATACTACCAGATCAGAGACCGTACCAGATGCTGTAGTTAGCAAGGTAAGCTAATCATTTTTTGACGTTTAATTCAGCATATAACTGCAATTAAATGCATCGCTAGCATTATGTCTGTATTAATTTACAAACACTAAAAGCAACAACACTCACCTGAGTCTGAGAAGGAAGGAGGCACGGTAATGTCGCGCTGTTTGGGGCGGGATGCTGCGTGGTGTCGCGCAATAATTACGTCTTTCAGCAACACCTTTTTTTTTTTTTTTTCTTCTTCTTCTTCTTCTTCTTCTTCTTCTTCTTCTTCTTCTTCTTCTTCTTCTTCTTCTTCTTCTTCTTCTTCTTCTTCTTCTTCTTCTTCTTCTTCTTCTTCTTCTTCTTCTTCTTCTTCTTCTTCTTCTTCTTCTTCTTCTTCTTCTTTGGTGGGGTTTATTGGCGGTTGGCATCCAACGTTATGGTGCATTACCGCCACCTACTGTACTGGGGTTTGTTGATGACTGGGGTGCATTGCTTTGACGTTTCCGTACCGCAGCATGCGTTCTCTTCTCTTCGCGCGACGAAAATTCGCTCCTTCTTCTTCTGCTTCTTTTGCTGTGGGTTTTATGGCGGACTACAACACAAAATATGTATTGCCGCCACCAACTGGACGGGTTGAAACCAAAACAAGGTAAAAACAAAATCCATACATAATAGGGAAACTAACTTAATCCACACAAATACAATTTTACATTGACAAAACTCCCACTTCTTTCTTCTTTTAAATCTCCATATCTCCCTTCTCAGGCACTAGGGCCTGAGTTGGTGGTACGGCTTTTGACAATATTCCATATTACTATTTAGCCGAGAAATCTTTCAGCCCCAGGAACCGCTCCGCTGCAACCACAATGATTTCTATCTTCCTAGATATTTTTTCCACCTTGGCAGTGCCATTAATCACCATTGCAATAAAGGCCACAAAGTCCACCTTTTTAACCTTTAAAATATCAAGATCCTCTTGGTGAAAGGCAACCCCTGCAGCCTGCAGTGAAGGCCTATCCACCACCATGGACTCTTCAGGTGCACCACTGAAACCCTCAAACCTTTTAATGGCTGCTGCATATGAAATGCTCTGGACAGCCCTTACTTTGGCCACCTCATTCTCTTTCGCCCTCGTGGGGCATTCAAAAAGAAGTGGCTTCATGGTTCCCACCACAATTGCAACATGACATATTTTCATCACTCTTATAACACATGACATGATCTTTTCCACAACTTGGACATCTCGGCTTCTCCCTTCTGCAAACACTTGAAACGTGACCAAAAGCTTTACAATGATCACACTGCATTGGTCTTGGGATAAATGCTCTGACTGTATAGTTGATATACCCTAACTGCACTTGAGTAGGGAGAGAACAGATAGACTCTTCACTTTTTCTTCATTCACCACACGATTCATCCAACATGCATTAATCACTCCAGGAAGATTTTTCATCTCAACACCTTGCTGCCACCTACTGTAGGCCTAGATATGTGGCTACCACAATTGTATTTAGTGTGGCTTGGAGTCAAAAGATAATTGGACAATTTTATAGGAAATAACTATGAGTGTTATTTATTGACTGCCATGGTCCATATATTTAGCTTTTTAATTTACTGACTCTAAGCCAGCGTTCCTTTCCTGCTCTTGGCCCTTGGGAATCACATTTCCAGCATAGTTTCCAACATCTTATCATTTGAATGAAAAAAATTGCAAGTCAGACAGAATATATTAATTGTAGACAAGACAGTTAAGTCTATAGACTATAGAAGATGGATTGTAAAGGGCACTAAGAAATAAATAAATAAAGCGTTGGACTTAGATCTGAACAGGGATGTTTTATGAGGTGTTATGATGACCCTCAGTCCCTGGTTTGCTGGTTTGGCTTGTGTTGTTGCTTGTGTTTTGGGAATTTGGTTTTTGCTGACTTTGGCCTTTCTCCAAATGTATGATTTAAAAGCTGTGTCAAATGAACAGTTATGCGAGAGGAACGTTTTCAGAGAACTACGTAGGCGGTAAGCAGGCTGCGGCATTTATCTTCAGTTTCCTTAAAAAAAACATTCACTTGAGCACAATAGTCACTGTTTACTTGTATGGACCCAGTTACACCATTTGATTTCTTTGCATTGTGTGTTTTTCCACCAGATATTCAGGATAGTGTACACCCTTTGAACATACTGTATTATTGTATTACTGTATTTAATCCCTTGGTGGAGAGGAGAAAAAAAGGTAACAACCTGATCTAATTCAGTCAAAACACCCTTCTTTATTTCATCACATTCAATTACTTTACATTCCATAACTTCTTTACACGTCCCCAGAGAATTGAGGAGAAGCAATAAATATTCATAACTTGTACAATATTTGACATGAAGTAGCCTTTTTATACATCAGAAGCTCAGGAAAAATCATAGTTCTCCCTTTACTTAACAAGCGATCTTAATCTTAGCATAACATTTACATAGCATACAACTCAGGTTTTTTGGAATCGTTCTGGAATCGTTGGACATCAATGATGTTAAAATGTAATTGTTCAACCTTAACCAACAGACTCCAGAATAATAAAATGTAATGTTCCACAAATGAGATACAATCAGTTGAATGAATTATGATATTCTTATGCGTTACATTCTATTCATGAAGATATGTGGCTAGGCTTTGACCTTCTGATCTCTCAGATGATCCTCTGTGCTGATATAGCTGCACATTTTCATGCGCTTCAAACCTTTGACCTACTCACTATGCAAGTGTGTTTCTCAACTCTCCATCTGTGGGGTAATGTGCTTCTCAACTCTCCATCTGTGGGGTAATGTGCTTCTCAACTCTACATCTGTGGGGTAATGTGCTTCTCAACTCTACATCTGTGGGGTAATGTGCTTCTCAACTCTACCATCTGTGGGGTAATGTGTTTCTCAACTCTCCATCTGTGGGGTAATGTGCTTCTCAACTCTACATCTGTGGGGTAATGTGTTTCTCAACTCTACATCTGTGGGATAATGTGTTTCTCAACTCTCCGTCTGTGGGATAATTTGTTTTCAAACCCTCGGTCCTTGGGATAATGTGTTTCCCAACTCTTGGTCAGTGGGATAATGCAGACTGACTGCTCCAATAGACCGTACTCGGACACCGGGTATGTCCATACTCAAGTCCTAGTTTTAATTTAAGAGATATCCAAAGGAGGATGATCTTAGCTTGCCAGTCACTGTGATAAGGAATATTAAGAGATACTGCCATGGCTGAAGAACATGTAATCCTCATTTGACAGAGCATTGTATCCTTCACTATATGTGATAACAGAAATGTCATTTTTTTATGTCGGTAACAACCGCAAAGTACCAAGGACCACGCTTGCTGCATGATGAGTAACCTTGCCTGAGATCTGAAGAGTTGCTTTGGCTCCCTGGTCAATACTAGGCTTTAGCTTAGGTGGGCTAATGCAGTCTTCTTCTGGCACTCACTCAGGAGACCCGGGATCGAACACCGTCGGTCACACAGTCATATCCTGCTAACTGTATTCTTCTCCAAGCTTTTACTCTGAAAGGGGTTCCACTCCCAGCGTTGCAGCACACTCCCCTTCAAATCGGCCTGGCGCTTGGTTATGATCTCATATCCTGTTAACGGGATTGTTCTCCGAGCTCTTGCTCTGAAACGAGTTCCCCTCCCAGCGTCGGAGCACACTCCCCTTAAAATCGGCCTGGCGCTTGGTGATGAGGTAGATCTTGCGGAGGACGGCCCGGCGTAGCAGGATATAGACCCAGGGGTCCAGGATCTGGTTCCAGGAAGCCAGCCGCACGCCCATCAAATTCAACGTCTCGTAGGTGGCCATGTCAGCTTTATCAATGGAGCCCCTATAGGAGCGCATCACCGACATGAGCCCGAAGATCTTGGGCATAAGAGAAGACATATAATTGTTCATTGTTATACTTTGATCCAGAACCATCATGCAACCAATTTCTTTGATGAGGCATTGACGGCCTAATTCGATTTCTTTGGAATAATGATGCGTAAAATAAACAATATCTTGTGTATTTTCAGTGTACAAATGAATCAAACTGAAGGCGCCTGTGGCCTGTCTTTGTTGTTGGGTGACTTTTTTCTAGATGTGTAGCGGGTATAGGGAATAGGCATGGTGTGGTGGATGGTATCAGCAGCATCAGCATCGACACTTGTTTGTGTCCCAGGCAGCGATTGTCCCACTCACCAGCAGAGGGCTCCAGCAGATACAGGACGTGACCATGATGCCCACCAGCTGCACCACCATCTCTATATCATGGCTCTTGGCCACTGAGCGGTGGCTGTGGGACGATGAGCAGCTTGAGGGCCTCCGTCTCAGCCTGGCCAGAACCAGGGTCAGCCCGCTGATGGTGTTACACACCAGGGCCACCCCCAGCGACGTCAGGCCCAGCCCGGAGAAGAGCATGACGAAGGCTACGTCCGCTTCCTGGGTGTCGTTAGCTAAGACCTTGATGAAGGACAGGAGAAGACAGACATTTATTGGTATATATAACTCTATACTTTATCCTATTGATATTGTACACTAGTGTTATTTCTATTAGGCTTTTTGTGCCTCCCAAAAAATCCCATTCACTTTAATGTTGGTAGTCAGATTTACTTCAGCATTCTAAACATCACACTGTTTAAATAACTGTCATAGAACTTTGAGAATGAACTAAAGCACTAGGGGAGCTCAATACCTGGCTGCCAGGGCTGGGGTCAATTCAAATTGAAGGCAGTCAATTCAGGAAGTAAACTTAAATAACAATAAAAAAAATAATAAAAAGAACCAGCATCTATTTTCAATGACTTTTCAATAAACTGAGGAGTAGAAGCTATTTATTTCAAGTTTTTCCATTTTTGAATTTTTTATTTAAATCACTTCCTGAATTGACTGACTTCAATTCGAATTGACTCCAGCCCTGCTGGCTACTGACCTTGATAAAGCACCAGCTGTTGGGGTGCTGGTAGGTGTATGACCCCAGCTGGAAGCAGGGCAGCAGGGCCACGCAGAGGGCCACCAGCCAGATCCCCGAGAGGGACAGCTTGGTACGGGTGGAGGTAACTAAGGAGGAGTGGAGCAGTGGCTGTGTAACGCCCAAACAGCGCTCCGCAGCCATCGCACAGCCCAGGAAGAGCGGGCACAGGCCAAAGAACACCATAGAACCACCCAGGAACTGGCACATGGGGTCAGTCGAGCCGTTTGAGGAAGCGGCTGCCGCCTCGGGGGACACCCCTCCGAAGAGGTAGAGCCGGAGGACCAGCGCTCCCGGGATGATGTGCCCAAAAAAGTCTGTGAGTACCAGGGAGCTGGCGAAGAGGAGGAAGGTGGCTTTGGAGCGTCGGCGCTGGTGGGAGTAGGCGTTGGCCAGGATGAACAAGGCCACGATGTTGGAGATGACGCCCAGGGTCATGGAGAGAGCGGCTGCGATCGGGCCTCCGGACGTGGGATTGTCCGAGGTGAGGTTCCCCTGGTGAGCCAGACTCTCCATTTCCACCTATACAAGATGCAATATACAATACAACTTTATGTCCAATCACAATCTGATATGTGTCTTTTTTCTTTCTTATGTTATCGAATCCCCAGAGGTGAAACCAGCCACCCTCCATTAGCTAGTTCAGGCCCGGGACTTTAACCAGTGACCTTCCGGTTACTGTTCCACCTCTCTAATATGTGGCCTACCTACCATCTCCGTGTCCCACTGGCTGAGGTTGGAGATGGGGTCGAGGGCCCCCGGGGGCCCGGAGAGGTTGTAGTGATTCATGGCTAGCATCACTGGGCTTTGAAGGTCAGGAACCCCATCACTGAGAGAGGCTGAGAAGAGTAGGAGAGAGACAATATGATTATAGTTGTATTTCAGGCTTCAATGACCTGTAAGTAACATGGGGGAATGGGGTCATCGTATAGGTAGCAATATCAATGGAAAACACACACAGTCAATACTAGATGTGCGAAGAATTCAGACTCAAGTTTCAACAACACATCTTCTTCCCTATCTAGCTATCCTTCAGACATGATTATGATCAAATATGATGAGGATGAGTTACGCATTAAGGACACCCCAGAATCAGATGTGTCGAAATTCATACTGTTCTCTATCCTATTGAACCCACCCAGATAGAAGATCTAAAGCCCCTTTAGACAAAAATAGCTATTTGCACCTCAGAGAATATCTGTACGTTAGAGACTGTTTGCACTAACTCTCACACATCTAACCCTTGCACACAAGCAAAAACACACAAGCACACATAAACATACACACACAACACTGCTGTTCTATTATATACTATGTATCAAATTGGGCGACCAAGACAATACCCACTTTATATTTGTAACCCAGTCATACTTGACATAGCACATTCATTATCTATACTATATATCCTATTGTGTACATATTAGTTTTACTATGCATACTACCTTCTTCTAATTACTAATTATTTTTGATTGACTTTTGATTATTATTGATATTGTACTGCAATGTTGAGCAGCTATCACGCAAGCATTTCACTGCAACATTTATACCTGCTGTAAACTGTGTACATGAGGAATAATGATTTTGATTTATTTTAAATTTAATTTGAGGTAATAGCACCTAACCCCTAACCACAGGACTAGGATCAGATCATTCTACCCCCATTCCCAACCATAACCATTAAGGGATTATTAAACAATATCTGATCCTGTATCAGCAGTTAGGGACATCTTCCACCTAATCCCACAAAACAGCTGCTGCACACCTCCATTCACACTTAGGTTGTACAATTGATGTACAACGCATTTGACACACAATGGTTGTGATACAACTGATATTTTCGTGATACAACTGAGAGGTTGTCTGCACACAAATGTAGACACAACCATTGTGCGGTGTCTCCAAACACTTGTGTAATGACTTTTCTGCTGAAGAACTCTCGGGCGGCAGGTAGCTTAGTGGTTAAGAGCGTTGTGCCAGTAAACGAAAGGTCGCTGGTTCTAATTCCTGAGCCGACTAGGTGAAAAATGTGTTGATGTGCCCTTGAGCAAGGCACTTAACCCTAATTGCTCCTGTAAATCGCTCTGGATAAGATGACTAAAATGTAAATGTTGTATCACACTTGTTGTGCCAAATCCGCCCTCGACCCCCTCTCCAACCTCAGCCAGTGGGACACGGAGATGGTAGGTAGGCCATATCCGTTGTACATTAGTCGTACGCCACTGACAGGTTAGAACGAAGACAAGTTATAACAGTTCCCTGTTAACAAGCGCATAACTATTGAGACACATTCCATGAGCAGCTTCAATCCCTCAGGCTGTATTCTAGTTCAGGGAGGCAGCAGGCAACACACGTTCTCGCTCTCTCTTTTGACAAAATGGTTTCCTCACATTAACACTTGTCTTTGGGAAACATGGAAATTACATGGAGATGATGGTTAGTTTTAAAATGCCTCAAAAATACACTTTGTTGGTTGGTGTAAAAGTAGACTTTCAAGCAATAAAACACACATTTCTGATAACTCTACACACATGTTGTGTTTCAACAGTGTGTCTATATTGTATTGACGTGGCAGAAAGTCCAGAGGCTATGTCTCTAAAATGTGTCTGTTTTATTCAGTGGTCTAATGTCTCTAATGGAGGTGATATATGCTGCCAAGCTTATTCTACATAATGCAATTCATAACTAGGCTATTCTATTCTATTCTATTCTATTTTTCTATTCTATTCTAGTAAAGAAAATGCCCAAAAGGTGGTTTTGCAAAGGCAATACCTTGTCAGTTGGCATTGGCTTTTACATTCAGTATAAATGCATATATGTGTCATGAATAGGCCTAAAAACTGACTAAATTTTAGGAAAACAGATCTCCATGCACAGCTCAACCTTACTGTAAATGAAACTAAAATAGTTTTAGTATCAACTGAGGATGAATCCGAAAACATCCAATGACATTTTCTGGATTGACCTGTCATCTTTCATTATCACCCTAATCACCCTACTCAATGACCTTATCATCGAGTCACCCTGTAATTATTATTGAGTTCAAGGTCTGTTTAGCTATTTAAAATATGCACTACCATGCCAAACATACCACTGACATGTCTTTGTGGCTCTGAAACATTCTTATCATCATTTATTTGAGGAGGGTTATTTTTCTCCAAAGCTGTCCATTTGCTTACCCTTTATTAATACTGATGCCATACACAAAAATAAAATAAAAAGCCAAAATATTTTGTGAATAATCATTACCATGACAGATAGGGATTAATAATTATAGTCAATTGTGATGTCCACCCTGTCAACGGAATTGTCTGCGATGTTATTCCAAATCCAGATTCCAGATAGATATACACGTATCTATATAATCCAAAAAACCGTTGAAGACGAAACACATTCAGCAAAGTTTTCCTCAATCGACTGGTGCAGAATAAAAGTGCTTTACTCTAAAAGAAGAACCATTGTTCCAAGATATCTCTTCGGCAGGATGATGACATTGAGTTAATATTCCCCATTGTTCTCGGAAAACAAATGTTCAACAACTTCCCAACAGAATTACCATTGTCGCTTTTAAATCCGTTTGATTGGAGTTTCATGACCCCAGAGTGAGCGCGAGGATTATTCCAATGCTGCGGAAAGGCTACACCGCAAGTTCTCTGGCGCGTGCTTCTCAACAGCGTTTTTATATAGCGCCGTGTCCTTATGAATAGGTAGCCCATGGGCGGCCCCGTGAGTCAAGTTTAAGTCTATTCTTTTAGAAGAACACTTTTCCATGTAATTTGTCCATGTTACGTGTACGTTTTACAGTCACTTTTATATTAGGCTACTGTAGCCAATGTGACTCACATTCACATTTTACTTTGAATATCAGTCTGTATATACAAGGTTCAGGAAATAAGAACTCAAATAGCATTACAATAACCAGCTGACAAAGATCTATAGTTTAAAACAGATACCAACATATGTGGTTGTTTTTAAATAGCCATTATTGATTCATTTGATCATTATTGCTCAGTAAAAATGACATGAACATATTGTCTATAAGCCATCATTACAAGAGGTGACAACACTACATGCAGTAGGTTACACAGTATAGTACAGCCTGTATAGGAAAGTCTCAAATCATACTTATACTTATAATTCACCATTAAATACTGGTATACAGTAATACAACATGTTGAATTGGCTATTTCCTATGCTCCTGTAAAAATACATTTGTTGCAAGTGTTTTTAACTTGTGCATCTCAGAGTATGCCTTGAGGTATTGTAGCAACAAAAAAAAACATTTTAATGTCACATACACTGGATAGGTGCAGTGAAATGTGTTGTTTTACAGGGTCAGCCATATTAGTATGCCACCCCTGGAGCAAATTAGGTTAACTGCCTTGCTCAAGGGCACATAAACAGATTTATCACCTTGTCGGCTCGGGTATTCAAAACAGCGACCTTTCGGTTACTGGCCCAACGCTCTGATCGATAGGTTACCTTTCGCCCCAGGCCCTAGGATCAATGCTTGGTTTCAAATTGATGATAAAGTGCAAACCGAGACGAGAGATGGCATGTATCTCTTGCTATGCTGATGCTGCATATGAAACATGATGTTATAAATAACTAGAGGTGTCAACTATCAGGCCAGACCCAGTAAACGTTGAATACCTTGCTGAGGACGTACTGTAGGCCTATGAGCTAGGGAGACTGGTCCTCTAGTGGCATTTTACTCTCCTATCTAAATATATGATATAGGCTAATATTAGACAAATATATTCTAAACCAGACACTTAATTAATGCAGTGAGTGATTAGGACAGCCTTTATTAGCCTGCTATAGATAGCCCAGATATCAAGGGAATTAATTCACTCTGATCAACCCGAGAATTATTAATATGTAGTACTCTACTTACTGTAGGCCTGTGTCTTATCCCACTCTGGTTTTAAATATATTGAATGTCATTTTAATACTCACTTATATGGTTACCCAGAGACCATGCAGCTTAGTTAGGGAACTCCTTTCTCTCCTCTACTAACATGATTCATTTTGTGCTGAAACTCGACCAGACGTTCCCCTGCATTTTTCAAGGCTTCTGAAGTAAAGATGCTTCGGGAGAAAACATCATCAGTCCTCTCTCTCTGGCTCTGTCTTTCTCTCTCTTTGATTGACAGCTTAGTATAAAAATAGGTGATAGGAGGAATGTGTCAGGTGGTGCAACCAAACCGTGGCGCTCGCCTCGTACTGCCCACTGGAGACAGGTGCTGCGTGTTTGTTTAATTAAATCAGTATTTGGCAACGCCAGGGCAGACACAGGCTTGTGGCTTGGCATTGGACTAAGAGCAACAAGAAGTGGATGTATATGAGTTCAGAGAAAGAGAGCAGGGCGAGGAAGAGAGAGAGACAGAGAGAGAGACAGAGAGAGAGAGGACATTGATGTTTGGTATGGTTCTGAGGGAATACTCTGAGGTTTGGTATTCCATTGGACTGGACCAGGTCTACTAGGCCTTCCAAATGATTCAAAACATCTTTCACAAAGAGAGGCTTTGTGAAAGCTGAAATGGCGAGAGAGATGTCTGGCTGAAGAGTAGTCTATTAAGAAAACCAGAACACAACGTAAGAACCACAACATCTGTTAGAGTGAAAGAATGTGGGAGATGGTGAGAATGATCAAACGCTTGATCAGAGAAACAACCTTTGTGTGAAAAGTAAATGGAATGCCACATAAAAAATTGAAAAGTGAATTTAACGAGGTGTGTCAAAGGAGGGACTTTTGACCTTCAGATCAAAAAAAATCGCCGAAGCAAACT